GGGCAACACTTTACAGCCCCTTTCCCTTTTGCCCAAAACATAGAGACATGCAAAGATTCTGATAATCATGACAAATTCCAAACCTTCAAAATCTCCGGTGCAATGTTATTTGGACCACGTGATGAGAAGGAAGCAACTATAGGATCTGTATTATGTTCTGTAATTTCGCTTTTCAATATCGTTGCTTGAGGGTTTCTGCAGGATTAACAACCAGAGAAATGATCTCAACGGCTAAGAAGTTCTAACTATGGCAGGGAAATTTAATTAACTATTTAATGACTGGTTCACCAAAATTTTGAATGTGTGTATAGAATTTACTTTGTAGATTTCAAGTAGGACATCACCAAATCACTGTCATGAGGGTTCAAACTAGAAGCAGGTAAGGGCACTACATAGGAATTATCTTCAAATGTGTCGTTCAACATAATTGCGCCAAGGGCCCTGGCCCTAAAAGTTTCATCTGTCACTGATGGATCTGTCATATCACATATGACTATCTTTTCCTTCACTAAGCTACGATTCAAACAATAATCCCAGCAAGACCTAATATAGCATATGGATGAAGGTTAAATAGTTTCTTTATTGAAAGGACAATGAATTAAGAATGACCAAAGGGATAGCATTTACCAAGCATCTTCCTCGGTGCAATTACTCGTGACAGCTTTTCCATAAATCAGAGGGATTTGTGTTCCATTTAGCGCAAAAGAATTAACAGAGCTTCCCTGATTAAAATAGAAGTAACAGCAGATAAAGATTTTACAGAATATCCAACATGAAAAAATATGAAATCACATTCAGCTGTGTTAATTTTCATCTTTTTTCAGCTAAGTGCCTCTGGATAAGTGAAGGGATGGACAGCTATTGCAAGAACAACAAAGAGTCCCTCTATAAATTACGATAACAATGTAATACATGAACAAAATGACTGAGATTATGACATAAGTTTGAGATATTGTAGCTACTTACAATGAAAGTCTGTCCATTCCCTAGAACTGTCTTATCAATTATTCGACGATCTGTGCTGCTAGCTGCGACAGAAATTATCCATGGTGCAAGGCTTGATACAGTAAATGGATCAGGACCACTGTTTCCTGCTGCTTGTACAGTGAGTATCCCTTTCTCCATTGCATGAAAGGCTCCTATCGCAATAGTATCTTTTTCATACGGAAATGGTTCTTCCTTCCCTATTGAAATTGTGATGATGTCAACCCCATCAGCAATGGCGTCATCAAAGGCAGCAAGTATTTTATGGTCGTCACAAAACTCCTCACAGGCCATGTAAACTGCAATTCTTGCTGATGGAACCGCTCCTCTTGCATTTCCTTGAGCCAATCCGTAAAAATTTGTGGCTGATACCGTGTTGCCAGCTGCTGTTGATGCTGTGTGGCTACCATGGCCTTGAGTGTCCCTTGCAGTAGCTTCAGGGCCTGAAGTGACTTCAACTCGAGCTCCAATGATCTTGCTGAAAGTAAACATAATAGCAGAATCTAACCACTAAGTACTCCTCCGTCCAATAATAGAGTTCACTAATTCTTTCGTGTATCATATGGGAGGAAAAACAAGAATGTTAGTATCATTTGTATTTTTGTCTAATTGTTCCGATTTGACATTTAAATATTGTTATACTCGTAGTTATGTGTTAATGTCATCTTCTCGAGAAACAAATTTCCAGTGAACCATTGACATTTTATAAAAACAGGAGGCTTTGATACAGTCCTTTCTTACCATAACGATGCAAATTTAAATTTTGAGAGTGTATCAAGATGCTTTCATGGCTTCTTTTGGAGCTTTATTTTGGTAATTAATCTTCCCTTAATTCATAAAACGTTGAAGTTTTATCTATAGTAAGATATCTTCTTGCTAAAAGAAAACAACACAGAACTTACATTTGTTTGGCTTAAAAGTGCAAAATTATAAAAGATGAAAAAGAACCCTTCATATTTAGCCTTTCAGCCAAAATAACTCATCCAACTGCATTTTAATGACGTAGAATAATAGGTGTGTAAGAGAGGAAAGGAGAGCAAGAGGGATGATAGATTACTTGTTGCAAGTAAAATTTTTGCCGCCAGCACAAGTTCCCTTCCATTTTGCAGGAGGAGGACCAAAACCTTCGTCACCAAAACTCTCCGACTCGGGCCAGATTCCTGTATCAATAACCCCAATGATTATATTACTTTCTACTGTGGGATTCCGTTTCACGTTTTCAGGAAACCCCATGAAGTCCCATGATCTTGTCGTCAGAAGTTGAAGTCTTCTACTTGGGAATACAGACACCACTTCCTTCAGGCCTGCATATCGCTGTCATTACACATCAAAATAGATCAATTCCACCAAGAAGTTGCTGTAGAAGGATCTTCAAGAGCTTACCATAGATTCTCTCGACCTCTGCATGACTAAGTCTGGCTGCAAATGCATTGAAACTCCTATTGTAGCTTCTAATTAACGCATCATCCACAGATCTGGAAGAGAGGGAAATATTAGAAAATCAGTGAATCTTTTTCTGATTATGGTCATGCCCGTTGAACAGGTTTTCCAGTCTAATATGGCATCGATGTGATTTGTTAGAGTATTAGCCTCATCCACCTAGTTCCATATTTCATACCACCAAATGAATGCACTTGAAAATTCAAGAAAAGGAAAACAAGCCGTATACAGGAAAACAAGGAAATAGAAAAGCTTAGAAAAGCTTTCTGACCAAGAATGGACTTGAAAACAATCACCTTCCTTCGATAATTTTTTCAAGCAGACAGAGGTGGCAAGAAGTGGGTGAGTATTCACCCTTAGGAAGTGAGCCCATGTACACAATGTAGACCTGCATCACGATTGACATAAATCAAAAGCTGAATTTATAAAGGATTTCTGCCAACATATATATATATATATATCAAATACATCGGTTCATCTGCACAGCTAATCAACCAGTGGTCACAATCAGAGAAAAAAGGTTATACAAAAATCAAAAATTGAAGCACAGGTACCTGCTTATCATTTTCAGCAGTGAATGAGTTAAGGTTAGCAACAATAATGATAACCAACAGGATGCAGTATGAAGATAGACAACCGAAAATTTCAGCCATTATGTGACGAGCAAAACTTCAGAAGTATCACTATTATTTTGGATTAGAAGGGAAAACTATGAGAAATTTTATAATATTCAAGGAGTAATTATTGGCATATATAGTAGTTACTTCATGGATTCACTTTGAGAAGAGAGATAGACACATAAAAAAGAGAGAAAAAAATAAAGGAATATGAAAATTTTCTTATCACTTTTGATGGTCATGGATATAATTCTCTATACTTTTTATGTGTCTATTTCTTTGCTCAAAGTGAATTCATGAAGTAATTACTATACATAGCACTAATTACTCTTCGAGTATTATAAAATTCTTCGGAAAACTATCACTATTATTTTGTATTTTGGATTAGAAAGGAAAGTTTGTATAGAGATGCAAATGCATTTGTCTATCAACTTAAGCTTTTATGAAAGTGACATTTTTTTTCATTTGTCCAATACTAAGCATCCTTAGTATTTACGAGAATATAGAAGAGGAATAATCTGTCACCGTTAAGTTTAGGAAAGCTACAGGTCCGCTTTCCTATAAGGATGACACCGTCATTTATGACTGAAATCTGCATTTATATTGTTTCCAACTTTTGATTCTTTATGACACTGGAGCAATCAACAAGTAAGAAATTAAAAGCATATCCGGTTCCAAGTTGTCGGTGACATTCGTGATATTTGGGCTCTAAAAAACCAGTCAAATTCCATATTGGAAATCTCTCAAACATGGAGTGCCATATTTGCTTTATGGAGTAGAAAAATTGCCGAAGCACCTCCTAATTGGTGTGCAAATATCAATTTTGGAAATCGAGGAAATATATATGAAATGCACAGAGAGAAACTTATTGACCACCTTGTATGCTAAACCAAATAAACACTGCAACACAACATTAGAAGAAGAAATACGTTTTGTTTTGAGATATAATTTCATGCAGATATAGTCATATAGAACCAAATATGTTCTAATCAATTCCAGATCCCAAGTTCACCCCATTTAAAATTGTAATTGTAGCATATTGGCATAATACTAACTACATGTTCATCTAATTTAGCAAAGGCTATCCCAGGTTCCGCCCATTTAAAATTGTAGTTGTAGCATATTGCCATATTACTAATTACATGTTCATCTAATTTAGCAAAGGCTAAAAAGTTCTCTTGAATTTTGTTTCAACTCCAATGAACAAGGTCTGTGGATCCGTCTTCACCAGTCATCATAATATAATTCTTAATCTATTGTTAATGCTGTTTATTAACTGATTTCAATGGCTAGTTCCTATTTTTTCATCCTCCTATGAGATAGCTGCTTGTCCTATTAACTATCTTCTAGAGATTCGCCATCCTGAAGTTCTTCCTCGAAAACTTATTATGCAAGACAGTGATTTATGAGACATAAACATATGATCAACTTGATGAGTAGAAATTGCTGTGTAGAAGAGTGTTAAGTAAATGATAATGGAGGCATCAAGAATTGAAAACACAAAAGTGGCAAATACCTGGCAAGAGTAGCATTCCAAAGAGAAAATAGAGAAAAAAAATGAAAATACTACACAGAGATTACTGGTTGACATTTGAGTAGAATTGATTTGATAGTTATGGAAGGCCAATAAGAATGGAAATCAAGTTTTAACATAAGCAGCTGCACTAGCAGAACGATGACAATTCGAGAAATCCTAAAGCATCAGGCTACACTATAAGACCTCTTATTTCGAGGACTAGTAAATAGTGGTGAAGTTAAAGAAGAGGATTACCTTAGAAGCCAACAGACTTATTAGTAAGACAATATTAGCTCTGTTCAACCCCACGACACAATTCCTTCCAAGATGTTTATAAACATATATACTAGTTACAAAATCAACTTTAGATTTCAGAAATAGCCTGAACAAAGTGAATCATTGACGTGGAAATCTAGAGGAAAAATAGTTGGAGCTGACAAGTTATGGAAAGCTCAAAAATATCAGCTTGTAGGCATACAAAGGTCATAAATTCTGATCAGAAAGAAGTTACAGAATCCGTAACATACGCGCGGAAAGCTTTTCTCAAGCTTCTCGAGGAAAATTCACAGGTTGATAGTCCTTTATTAAGACTTCATTTCATTCGTTTAATTAGTCCTCTCTTTTTTTTAGGCGATTGCTGATACTCTGGGATTTTATTTTCACAATGGCCTTTACCAGAACGTTTTATATTGTACATTAACATGGGCCTGTAATTGACAAAAGATTGCTGTGTGTTGTTCTTGTTCTTCAGGGTTTCGCAATTGTCCCAGACCATCAAGCTGGTGCAAAGTCAAAACCAAAAGAATGCAAATGCAAAAACTAAGGCAAATAAGTAGTGTTAAAATACAGAGATCAAACATCACAATGACAAAATTGTGTTTGAGTTTGAGAGAGAGAGTGTAGCGTGGAATTTGAAGTTACTTACAATGGGGATGGACTCCTTTTTGGAAAGAGGGAAACTCATGCGTTTATTTATAAGAGTGCGTTTCCAGAGTCAAGCCAGCGTCCGTGGGCCTTGGGTCTCGATTTGTTGAATAAAAAGGCCCAGAAAGAAAATTTAATCTCTCATAATTAAATTCTGTAAGACAAAAATACCATTCAACATAAAAAGTCTTAAAATTTAAATTTAAAAAACAAAAAAAAATCTCTCAAATTAAATTCTTTTTAATATATTTTAAAATAAAACAATAAATCCATATATGCTAATTATACTATACATGGGTGAAGAAGATAGTGAGTATTTGTTATATGTTGGAATCAATTAGGTATTAATTTTGAACACTTTTTTTTATTTTGTTATATTCTAAATCTCTATTTTTTTTTTCAGTTCATATTTATTATTTTATTTAGTTGCTACACCGTTAAGCAACTAAAAATTTCGAAAATTTATTGGAAAGGCTACTAGCCTACTTTGCACTTTAACCATTTGATGGAACTTTAATTTGTACCCAAACAATAAAAAAGATTCGTGGAGTTCATACACGAGCCTCTTCACGTCCTATATTTTCCTTTTTCTTTATTCAAAAATAATATTCAAAGGACGTGGTAATAGGAATTAAATAAGGTCTCGATGATTGTGCAAGTTAGTAAGCATAAGTTTTCAGGTCAAATGATCATATAGAGAGAAGGCAGTAAAGGAGATGATTCAGCTACGGTTTTAAACTGTTCTTCTGGTTGTTTTCTGTTAGTGTGTACAACTCTTTTCTGACATATACTTCGTTGCCATAAAATGCATCAAAAATAAAAATGATGAGGAAATGCAGAAAGAAAGTCATGTTGTAGAAATCTGAAAGCTACTGCTCAATTTGTATAGTTACATTATGAATTCTGTGTGTTTTCTCACAGTAGTCCTTGATCCTATGAAGAATTTCAGTAGAGCTGGCTCCAGGCTCAGCAATTACATGGCAAGACAATATTAACTTCCCTGCTGTTAGGGACCATACATGCAGGTTATGAACATCTTGAACTCCTTTAATACACTTCAGACCACTCTCCAGCCTGCCAACATCGATCTCGCTTGGTGTCGTCTCCATTAGTATACAGAAGATATCTCTAAGCATTGGCACAGTAGTAAACAGAACAAAAGTAGAGAAGACTAGAGTGCAGATAAGATCAACCACTAACCATTCTGGCTTGGCCCATATAACTGCTCCAGCAATCATCACCCCAACAGACTGAATTAGATCAGCCATGACATGGAGGTAAGCTCCTTGGATATTTATGTTCAACATTTTTGTCTTTGCTGGAGAACTCGATACCAGCTTAGTCCCCTCCCCTTCATTTGTTGCACAAAGATCCTCTCCTTCATGGACGTGAGTATGATCATGATTGTGATCATGGCATCCATGATGAGAGTGATCATGACCCAGCCACGTGACCATGATAAAATTAATGATAAATCCAAATAAAGCAATTGCAAACATGAGTACCCCATTCACCCCTGCATTTTTGTGAAGAATTCTGACAACTGCTTCATAAATTAAGAATCCAGAGATCAGCCATATGAGCTGAACAGATAGAAGGGCACCCAGAACTTCAAGGCGACTATATCCAAAAGACTGGCGTGATGTTGCCTCCCAACCTGAAGCCCACACTGTGAAAAGGGAAATAGAGAATCCAGCAACATCAGTTAGCAAATGTGCAGCATCTGTAATAACTGCAAGACTATTGGCTTTCACACCACCAACGACCTCCACTGCCATGACTATTAAATAGAAAATTATGAGTCCAGAAAGTTTCATTGCTGACTTTGATCGCTCTTCTGATTCCACAGTAAAACTTTCTTGTTTGGAGAAGGTACAAACAGAACTAAATATTAGCTGTGGATCAACAGGAAGGATGACTTTTTCCTCAGATGCAACAGCCATCTCAATATCATTCTGGTCCTCTGATCTCAAAATGGAGACTTCGTCATGTTCCATCTGCTTCGAGAAGACGTTATCAATTCAATGAGAAAGCAAAAGGACAAACAAAAGAAAAAGCAAATGTTAACAAAAAAATGTGATTGTCTAATTGGCTCCACAGACAGGCAAGCAACAGGAGTGCTTTATTTCTCCAAATAAAAAAAGCGAAAAATGGAACATAAAATTTTTGGAAGAACCACCATGGAGAAACCAGCAACTACAATCACATTGCACATAACAGGCCATCTTAAACTATAGTCGTACTGATTCTCGCAAGTAAATTTCATTTGCAGATAGAAAAGCCATCTTAAACTACTGCTTCGATCCTTGTACTGCATATTTAGGTTTGGGAAGAAGTCGAATCAAACATATAAATCATCCTAGGTGACATACATGAGCTTGTCCTGTAAAAGTCTTATACCTAGCTAGGCATGGCACAGGCGTGCATGTTTTCGGTTATCTTTCCTAGTAGAATTGCCATCAAACCAACATGACTCCAATTTCATTCATTCAAGAAATGTTCTTTCTGTTAACTAAACAGCACTCTTTACCAATCAGCAATGCTTTGCCTTATGGGCAGATAGTAGTTCAGTAACCGTGTAAAAATACACCAAGAAGTTCAAAAAAATTGTTCCCACAATCCAAGATCAACACAAAAAAAGTAACTGGAAAGTCAACAACAACAACAACAACAAAAGCGCAATTCGTTAGGCCAACAATATATTTAAAGAAATTCAAACATAAGCAAGGTAACGGGTTTGCAAGAAGCAACATGTTTGATCAAGCAATGTTTTTGTGGAACCATGAATAAAAATACCATAAACCCATTTCATAAAATCGAAAAGACATTAAAAAAAATAGAAACATCAATGGTAACCACAGGAGGAAAACGGTGTTATACCTGGGCTATGCTTTAGGGCATGAATCTCAAGGATTGAGAAACTGGGTTTGATCATAAACGTGAAAAGGACCAGAAACTTGATTATAAATCGGCTAAGAATCTTCTTACAAGGACAGACAGAATATTTAAGTCCTTGTCATATTTTCTTTGTTCTCGTTTGAAGAAAGACCGGCCGGCAGGGACCACCATCGAACAAGAAACGCATCTTTTTTAAACATTTGATCGTGCGCTGCATTAGCCAGTTTTTTTTTAAAAAAAAAAAAAATTGAATCTTCACCTCTACCACAATTATATACTTTTTCATTCATAAATAAAGAATAAGGAACTTTTTGTTTTTCAGTATCGGGATGATTTTCGTATTTTAGGAGTCAAAAACAGGATTATCATAGGAGTACCATTTTAAAGGAATAAACTTGTTGGTGTGGTTAGGTTATTAAAAATAAAATATTTGAAATAAAAATACAAGAATTAAAATAAAAAATAAAATTATATTTTTATTTTTATACTGTATTTGAAATAATAATAAACAATCGAAATAAAATTAAAATTTTTACTATAAATAAAAATAGTGATTTAAAAAAATTATTCCTTTTATTATGATAACAGTGAAAATAATAGATATTATTGTAATAGTGGTGAAGGTTGTGATGATAATAATAGAATGGGAAGAGAATAAAAATGATGTTGCAGTAATAACATAATAATAATAATACATTTTAAAAATATTAAATGATATTATCAATATAAAAAGTGATAATAGAATAATAATAATAATAATTTTTTTATCATCATTATCAATAATAATAGTAGTTTAAGTAGTTAATACATAATAAATAAAAAAATATAGTATTATTTTAAAAAATCATTCTCATTTTTATTTTTATTTTCACATTTCATGTGAAAATAAATGTATATACAATCTTTATTTCTATTTTTATTTCTATTTTATTTTTTTCAAACCAAACGATTACGGATATGAATAAAATTTTTATTTTTATTTTCATTATTTAATTTATAATAACCAAAAAGCATCACAAATCTCATAAAAATATAAACATTATTGATTGGTCGAGTAACAATATACAAATAAAAAGCTTTTTATTTAAACACATATATTGTGGATTATTAATAATTTATCACTTATGAAATCTATATTTTACTATGTATTATATGATACATGTTTGTATGAAATATTAGAACGAAAATTTTGTTTTTAAATCATTTTTCAAATATTATACCGTAAAAGACTTTTCTCGATAATCATTTTTATTTATTATTTTAATTTATTAATAATGTTTTAGAAAGGATTGTAACTTGCATTTTTAATTTTTAAATTTTTGATCCATTTATTAATTGAATGAATTAAAATAAACTTAGATTTGATTCGTTTAATAAACTTAAGATATTACAATCGTAATTGAATCTATGTAGTAAATATTATGTAAAAACTCTACTTAATTGTATGGATTAAAATTTAATTTATTAATAATTTTAAATTTACTATAATTAAGTCAGTTTGTACATCTTGGTATAAAGCTGTTAAAAAAAAAAAAGAACCACTTGCATGGTTAAGAGCCAAGATTGAATCCAACTGATAATATAAGTAAAGCAAAGGGACGGATTTATCAACTCCGGTCCGAGGAATTTTATTATCCAACTAAGCAATACAGGCGGTCCCACCTGGTCACTTGCATTTTTTAAAAAAAATTAATTATTATATATTTAGTACCAGTACTTAGAGTATTAATTACCAAATCTGTTATTATAATTATTTATAATTATTATTAGCATTGCACAATAAAGAAACAAATTTGCTATTGCTCTCTTCTCCTCTCTTTCCTACCAACAGATTCAAAATCGAAAAGAAAAGAAAAAAATTTCTTTTCATTGGTAATTTGAGATAGGGAAACCAATCCTGAAGATTTACAAGTAGATTTTGTTTATTTTAATGGCAGAGGAAGGACAGCACAAAAAGCAGCACCAGGAGGCAACAACAATGGAGGCAGGACTTTTGGATAGTATAATAAGTCGTTTATTAGAATTTAGGCAAACAAGGGTAGCTAAACAACCGCAGGTTCAGCTTAGCGAAAACGAGATCCGCCAACTCTGTGCTGTTTCCAGAGAAATCTTTCTTCAACAACCCAATCTTCTGGAGCTCGAAGCCCCCATCAAGATCTGTGGTAAAGCTCTCTTTCTTTGAAATACTTTGTGGTTTTCTGGTGGATTCACTCAACTGTCATTTCAATTTCTTATTACATGAAAGGCTGATACAATCTTCTTCAAGCTGGAATATTTTTATTTTTTTTATTTTATTTTTTTTTTTGGGGATTGAAATTTGATGAATTTGGATTGATGGAAAAAAAAAATCAAAATTTGGGAAAAGTTAATTTAATATTGGCTGGAAAGATTATTGGTTCGAGCAATTTATTTAGGGATTTTTTTATGGGGAACCAAAATTTTGTATGTGGTAATTGATGGACATAGAGCTGTGGAGCGGATGAAATCTCCCTTCTAGATTGCTTATTGTTAAAAGTCTTGTTCTGGTCCGAGAGCACCGTTTTTTTTTATTTCAAAATTTTGTAGATGACACTGTTTTGGAATGCTCATCCTCGGCCGGACTTGATAGCAGCAACGTCAAGCAAACTAACAGAAGCTTGATCTTCAGGTGAACTGCAACTAAGAAATGATCCCACCCACCGACCCCCCACACCACCACACCCACCCCCCCCCCCCCCCCTTCCTTTTCTTATCTTGAACTGATGTTAAACTTATTGATCATTAGTCTTTGGTATGAAGGAGTTGGAGAAAATCATGTGAAAAGAAAGAAAAGGGACATTGGGGGATAGGATGAAAGAATTCTACATTCACTTCCCAAAGGTGGAATAACCGATAAATTGGTTGTGTAGAAGCCAAAGAAACCATTTTCACTTGGTTAAGTTGTTTGAGAGAGTGTCTGTATGGATGTGATCTAGGAAGCAATGATACTTCAAAAATGTGCATTGGGCCCGTATCAGATTTGTGCCAGTAACGGTCCGATACATGTCAGATACAACATATATATATATATAAACTAAATTCTATTTTGGATGCATGGGGATAGAGTGGGGATACGGCCAGGACACGTTTTGGGGTTAAATTTGTAATTTAAAAAAAAGTTGGTTCAAATCAATTTTAAGTTGTATGAGTTGAAGTACTAAACATTTAACTAAAATAGAACTGCACTCCACACTTTTTTAATCAATTATTTGTAATATTTATTTTTTCAAGGTTGTCAATTTATGCAATAGTATAGTCATAAATGATCAAATTCTTGGTTTTTATGCAGGAAGCGTTTTAAATCAAAATAACTAAGTTTTTTATTTTTGTAATTTTCATTACAAGAAACATGATGTTATGGTTTCTAGTTTAAAAATTATCTATTTCTATCATAAATACCAAATTGAAAGGGAGATATGTAGCAATAATTAAATTTGAAAGAGAAAAATGAAATCACTGTCGATCCTTTTGTAATCATCATAATAATGATTGAGATGTATGATTTTCAGATATCCAATTTCATTTAATTGTAAATCAAATGTAAAGAACATGATGTCAATATTTTTCATTTATAATTTCCTATATTCCTACATTCAAATAATTATATATTATTATTCGTTGTTTTGATTTTTAGCTGGTCTTCATTTCTTGTTAAAATAATTTTTTTGTATGCTATATAAAATATTGAAAAACTTGACATATCCCTTACATATCCTATCCTAAATTTTTAAGAATTGTCGTATCCCCATATCTATATCATTCCATACTTGGATTCCATATTTTTGTCCATGCTTTATGACCATTTCTTTTTGTTCAAGCCTGAAGTTGTCATCCTAGTTCTTTGCTAGAGTTTTTACTCTTTCTAGAAGTTGATGAGGATGCACAAAGGGGTTTATATTTATTAAGTTTATGTGGAAGTGATTTCATGATGAATAAAATCTATCTATGTTTCAGTTGTTTGTATATTGTTATAGTGAACTTGGGTGCTCATAGATTAAGCCGAATGAACTTACATGTTCACAAACAACTTATGTTTTCCTTAGGTTAACTGCATTTGAACAGCTTAAGACCCTACAAGGTTTAAACATTTGTCTAGACAAGCAAGAGGCCTTGTAATGACTGGTCTCCTAGTATTTGCTCGGTGAATCATGGTAGGAAGTAGATACATAGTCATGTTTTTTTCAATTGAGAATCCAGAAAGAATCAAAGCTGGCTTGAAGTTGTTTGCTTGATATTTCCTCTGTTGTAATTTGTCATAATTTAATATTATGTATATTTTAATTATCTCAAATTGTTAGGACAGTATTAGTTAATTTCATCATCTGCATAAGTATTAGGTGTACAGGATGGGATAACTTGGTTAGTGTGCTTGATATTTTATGGTTTGTTAGCAATGATAGATTTGGATTTTCATGCTTTAGTACCTTTTTGGACATGTGTTGTTTCTATCACGATTCATACAATGAAAATCCTCGTGTCAGGACGGTTTTTGTTTTTTTTTTGGGACCGGTCATATAAGGAGAGTTTGTGCCTGGAATACAGAATTTCTTAAACTTGCAACCAAACATCAAATATGTTATCAACAAAACAGAAACAGCCATATTTACCTTACAACAGTTTTTGGTTTGAGTTCCATGTTAGGTTTAGCAATTTTTGGCCAAGTTTGTTCCTGTTAAGGGGAGCCTGTATAATTCACATTGCATGGACAATTATTATGTATGCTTATCTTGCATCTCTAGATTCAGATCCCTTCCACAATACCCTAATAGAAACCTTTTTTCCTCTAAGTGAAAAGCTTTGCTGACTTCAGACTAAGTGATGGTTGGTGTTCTATGCTTAGAAACTCAAAAGCTAATCTCAATCATAATTTGGCTAGTTGGTCTAAATTATTTTGTTGATCCTTACATATGGTAGCATAAGCAATTTAAGTTTGACGTTTGGACATCTAATTTGATCAGACCAACCTGAAAATGGTGGTTTACAATCTGTTTAAGTAATCCTCTTAGCATTATAGGTTGATGTTCGTTGGCCTGTGCTAGTGCAACCGCTGTGTGAACATCAAGGGGGCGTTCCTTTTGTGTGAAATATTTTACTGAAAATTAGTCAACATAGAATAGTTTATAGTTAATTTATAAAATTAGTTTATTTGTTGGAAAATACTTTTAGCTCGTGAAGTTTCGTAAAATATTTTAGGGATAGTAATCAACTCACAATATCATTCAACTATTTCAACCACCACCACTATATTGCCAATGCCGCCACTATCATTCCATCACCCCCACCACCACCATCACTATTGCCACCCTGCTGCCACCATAGCCATACCACACCACCACCACGATCATCATTGGACTACCACATTAATTGTCGCATCATTACTTATCCTAAAATTTATTCCACCAAAATTTTTCATTTCTAAAATTTTTTAAGTGAAACAAAAACCCCCTAAAATGGAATATTTCAACAGAGCCTTTGAAGGTTCCATTATTTGAATTTGCATCTGCATTGAGTGTTCGAAATAGTTTCTGAACAAAATGGTAGGATTTTCATTAACTTGTTTTCAATTTAGTATTTTTAGATTTTTGTTAGTATTATTTAGGAAGTTTTATAGGAAATTTATTATTATTTAATATTTTATGAGGATTCTTAGTTCCTATTTGGTTTAGATTACCAGGGTTTTGGGTATCTATGTAAGCTCCATATTCTATGTAATGTGGGAGCAAACACTTATGATGAATTAAACCTTAAATTGAGAATTGTTTCATTCTATATTCTTTCAACCCATTACTATAGGGTTTCTTTTTCTCATGCTTCTCCTATGGATCCAAACTTTTCTATAGGTTGCTTTTCTTTTTCTTATTATTTTAACCCCTCTCCTATAGGGAATTCTTCAATCTTTTATCTCCATTCTTACCCTTGGTCTATGTCAGTTTAACATGAGAGTTACTGGTTCAAATAAAAAAGAAGAGTAATGTGAGCGTTTGAAGTGCCTTTGTTACATTTTTCTCTTCATTTGGCAGGTTATTGCTGTAATATATTAGCCTAAATTGAATAATTTTTAGCTTCAAGTATTCCTTAATAAATCACTAAGTGTACAATGAAGAACGGGAGAAGACTGGGGTAAAGAGATAAGCCCGATGATCCACTAGGTTAAACCCTTGAGATTTATAAAGGATGCAAGAATTTTAAAAAAAAAAAAAAAAAAAAAAAAAGCTCTAAAATGCTATGGTTCTGAACTCTGCAAGAGTAAAAAGAATTCATTTGCAAAAATTTCATTTATTGAAACAGCATATCCAAAAAGCTAAAACGGCTGCTTATGTAAACATGCCAAAAACCTCTTAAGTGGTCCTAATCAAAATAGCAAACAAACTTATAGCATTACAGATAACAAAGAAAATCCTAAATAATCAAATGAAATCAGACAATCAAACAGTATGACAAAAATCTATAATTTATTCTTCTTCTTTAAAATAAAGTACATTTTCATGATTCTTTTGCATTTACTTTCTTGTTTTTGAGTTTCCTAACCATTGTGCCCTTTCTCCTTCGATTTCCAGGTGACATTCATGGGCAATATTCAGATCTTTTGAGGCTTTTTGAATATGGAGGATTTCCTCCTAGTGCCAATTATTTATTCTTAGGTGATTATGTCGACCGTGGAAAGCAGAGTCTGGAAACCATATGCCTTTTGCTTGCCTACAAAATTAAGTATCCTGAGAACTTCTTCCTTTTGAGAGGAAACCATGAGTCTGCTTCCATTAATCGAATTTATGGATTCTATGATGAATGTAAACGGCGCTTCAATGTGAAAGTTTGGAAAACATTTACAGATTGTTTTAACTGTCTACCTGTTGCTGCTCTTATAGATGACAAAATATTGTGCATGCACGGTGGGCTTTCCCCTGATTTAACGAATTTGGATCAAATTAGGAACTTACCTCGTCCAACTGATGTTCCAGATTCTGGTTTGCTTTGTGATTTACTTTGGTCTGATCCTGACAAGGATATCAAAGGCTGGGGAATGAATGACCGAGGGGTCTCATATACCTTTGGCCCTGACAAGGTTGCTGAATTCTTAATGAAGAATGATATGGACCTTGTTTGTCGTGCGCATCAGGTTGGTGAAGTTTGCTTTTTCTATCAATTGTTTCAACTCAAGCAGTTTTCCATGATGCCTCTTTTTTTTTTTTTTTTTCCTTTTTGTCAGGTTGTCGAGGATGGATATGAATTCTTCGCAGAAAGGCAGCTTGTAACAATATTTTCAGCTCCCAACTATTGTGGTGAATTTGATAATGCTGGTGCAATGATGAGTGTTGATGAAACCCTAATGTGTTCTTTCCAAATACTTAAGCCTACAGATAAAAGGTTCAGGTTCATGTGAAATGATTGCTGTTTGCTGTCCTATAACCGCTTACAATTTCTATGTAAGTTTCACGCTATGAGTTCTCTTTTATTTAATGGCAGTTCTTTTATGGTAAATCATGATTATTATGAACAAAATCCATTTCCATTCTTCAGTTATTTCTGAAAGACTAAAAAGCTTTCTAGGGATGGGTGTTAGAAGAAAGACATCCTCATAGGTCATTATTTAATTAGTAATATTTAAGGGAACAATATTGTTCACTAGTTAGTATTCCATTAAATATAAGCGATAGAGCATGCTTCTATAAATTGGACACAAATAATTTTAAATGCAGCTATAATCTTTTCATTAAACAGATTAGGTTAGATCTTTGTATGCGAAATATGACTAAAGTTAGTCATTGCTCTCTAAGAATTTAATATTTTTGTTGCAATACATCATCTCCTCGTTATCATGGTATAAATTGCTTGTGGAATATGAAAAACACACCAACCATGAGAAACCCATATATCGATTCAACATTTTAAAAGAAACACTCATATAAAAAATAGTGCACTTAAATGAAAAATAGAATTAAAAACAAAAGAAACTAAGGGAAGGAGGAGAGGTCAAGCAATTCAATTTTCTTGGCTATTTTGTATTATTGATATTATTGTATTGATTTATTCCTTTTATAAATGAAAGAGCAAGGGGTCCAGCAACCCCCCTCTTTTTTTTTTTTTTTAATGATGTAGCTCTGCCAGTGCTTGCCATGTAATGACATAAATGATTCATATTTTAGCCATAGAATAGGATTCAAGGTTGTGAAGGTATCTTATAACTTATGGGTGTTGCTACTCTTATGTTTATTGTTGATAGCTGCTTATTGAGTAGCAATATATATTCCTGTTGCAATTTTCTTTGCTTGAAGGCTAAGAATGAGTTCACTTTTTAATGGGTAGAAGCTTTGAAAGCAAAGTTGTCTGGGAAAATGAAGTGACTTCTGAATATCGTGTAGATCATTTTTGGGTTTTTGATTTTATCAATTGGTTAATTGTCAGTTTCACGAAAGAAACTCTATTTCATGTAATGGCCTCTAAAGAAGAGCAAGCCTTTGGAAACTCTTAGACTTCCATTTCAATGCATGTGTCAATTAATTGTTCCATGGAGAAGCATTGTTGTTCCTTTCTAAACTCTAGTTTTTTTCCCCTCATCTATGCTTCCAAGCTTTCCTCTATGTCAGCATTCAACTCAACACAGTCAGCTATGTCATCTTACTGGAAAAGAAAATCTATTTGTTGATGATGGACAGCAAGAGTGTATTTACAAAAAAGCAAAACGTTGCTGGTTAATGAACAAAGATTTGTCTCACTAGTATCATGCTACTACCACTGACAAAAGCTACTACTGCTAAATAGATTTTATTACTGTCATGTTTACATCTGCTAGCAACTCCTTTAATATCCAAACTGTGACCTCTACATATCTTTTGATAACCTACACTACCAAAAATATTGATGCATTGCCTTCTAATGGTTTCATCACTGTTGAGAAGTGAATGAGTCCTTATTAGATGTTTTTGTCCAACCTACCATAGGATTAATCATATATATTTGGTCCTTGTACTCTTGACATTTGCTTAGTGTGGCCTCTTAACTCTTTTTTTTTTATTTAGTGGGTCCCTCCACTTGAGAAAATTTCTTAATGTTGTCCCTCCTTCTAACTTGCTTCACAATTTACCTCTAATTCCTGACAAAAAGTCAGAAAAAGTGGACACGTGTGTAGAATTAATGGTAAATTGGATTTGGGGACCACATTAAGAAATTTTATAGAGTAGTGGGAACCACTAAATAAAAGAGTAGAGGCCACATTAATAAAATGCGCATAATAGGGACCAAATATATGATTAATCCATTACCATATTCAGTATTACCCAGCACTATACATACCATGACTTTGCCTTTCTGCCATCATCATTTTTTTCTCTGCTTCTGCAACTATTCTGGTCTGCTTTATCATTATTACCATCTCCATTATAATTATCTCTGAACTCCTGGTATGCATATTATTGATTTAGATAGTTGAGATTGAATTCCATCCAAAAGACTACGTCTTATGGTGGGCAGCTCTTTCTCATCTTTATATATTACTCATTTTTTGTTATTTATTCAATGTGGGATATATTCTCTAACGTCCCCTCACTTGGAGCCTATCTTTTGGGATCTATCAAGTAGTTTGGACTCCAGGATCTTTGCTGGGTTGTTGGACTTCTTTAAGACTTTAATATCATGTCAAAGAACCATCTCAACCCAAAAGCTTAAGTTGTTAGGTGAACCCCCAGGATATGATTTATATTATTCTTATAACACATATCGTTCCTTCGTGCCAATTCTGACATATCAGCATCATTATCACGCTACCATCACAGCCACATTACCCTGCTATAATGCCCCATTGCCTCTTTTATCATGCTTATTGGGTTTGGAACCACCTTTCTTTGTCACACTTTCTGGTGTACCTCTCATGCTGCTATCACATTGTAAATCCCCATATATACTTTTTTATTTTTAATTTAAGGCTAAATATTAAACAAAACAGTCTTGCTGCCTCCAAGTAGTATGTAGGGTATTAACTGAGATGTTTCAATTATGAGAGAATGAAATGTACTCAAGTTGTTCAGTCGTTTTATATCTATATGCATTAGTATAGATGCTGATCTCTTCCATTAGTTTTAACTGACCTTATAAAGTTTATTTCTTCTATATGACACATCAAATTTGCCTCCATCATTGTTCTTATATTCCTTATGTACTTGACAGATTTTGATATTCGTTGTTCTGATTTTTAATGTGTTGATATTTACTCTTGTTACATTAGCTTGCTGTTTTACTAATTCGTTTGCACCTTTGTTGTAGAGCTTCTTTTCAAGTGAGTGTTACAAGGAGAATCATTTGGAGATGGAACCATTGCCATCAAAGCTGCTTCAACTTTGAGCTGCTGCCAACATGATGTTACAGTGTTTCTCATGTTAAGGGTATGGATTATTTGTTCGAAAGGCTGTGTTCACAGGAGCTTTCCAAATTCCGAGCTTGGAGCTAACTGCTGTTTTAGAGCACTGGCTAAGGCCAGAAGTTTTTCCTTTTCAAATTTTCTCACTTAAATTATGATGTCTATGTAGATACATTTTTTTGCTGTAAATGACTGCATTCATACACCAGTGCACGATTGCCTTTTTCCAGAAATTTTCTGGTGGCGAGTCTCCAAATGACTGGCAAACTAGAGCACTAGAGTTCTGGCTTCTGATTTTCTCAGGCTTTCTTGGGGCTCAAGCATCAGGTGAAGTTTGTGATTTGACTGAGCTGCCTGCAGCAGTTTGCAGGAATGTTCCAAAGTAGAATGAATGGGTAAATTAACGGTTGTAATGTAAGTTCTTTCTTGTTTCACCATTTGACTGGCTTTCAGCTTGGTGCCACTAAGAATTGGGCTAAACTCCATTTCCTTCTTAAATACCATGATTGGCATGAATACCATTAGAATGAGTTCTGTGACTTTTTTTTTTTTTTTTTTACACAATTATAATTTGATACAGTCACGGAAGACGTGAGGAAGTCTTATCATGCTTAAAGGCTGTTTATTCAAGTTTCCCAGAGTTTGGTTGTTATTCAGTGATAAGCATCCCTATCAAGAATCAAGAAAGTGTTTCTTCAGTTGTCTTGAGTGAGCAGATGCAGTATCAGTCCGTATCTATCAATGTTACGGCATTGCTGAACCCTTGCGCTAGGATTCCGTTGACGTAAGTCAAAGTTAGCTCTCAATTTTAAGCTGTTCTAGAGGCATGCTTCCCTCAAAAGCAAATCAGCTGCTGCTTTGTTCGAGTCAGCAAAAAACAATCAGAAGACTACCTTAAGCCTGACAAAGCACAGCAAGTACTGTCTTAAAATCAATAATTTTCAGAGGGGGTTTCCTTGTGATGACCTTGTCATTTTGTTATAGAACAGAGAAAAAGCTATAGACAGCAGGCATTGGGGAAGTGAATCTTGCCTGCAGTTTCATCTATTTTATTTCCATCTTCCATATTTGAACATTTTTGTGGTGCACTTGCACCTTGGAAAATTTCTAAACCAATTGAAAGTCCTCGATGAAGTTTACCTCTTTCAAAATGTCAAACCTCACAGGTGACTGTGATCCAAACTTCCTAAGTGCTATATTTGTAGTTCTATTTCATGCGGTGGAAGAGGTTACAAGCTTTAATTTATGACCTAGCAAACGTGGAAGCTAGAAACTTCAAGCTTTGCATGTTTCCGGCCGGTGCACTTGCACTTAAGCCTCTCATTCAAGCTCTAGAGAAGGAAATGACAAGATATCACTTATTCTATTTAAACCCTAATTTGTTCTCTAAGCCTGTGAAGTCTTCACTGCATTATTTGCCACCGTTATAGTTTTCTTGCCAGTGAAAATGGAGCCTATCAGCCTATATAAACACCACCATCTCATGGGCATACACCTCCTTCACAAGATCCATTTGCTCAAGTTCCACTCTCACATAAACATCCACCATTTTTTCGAAATCCTTCAATCCAAACACCACCTTCTCGAGTCCCGCAATTCAAACACCACCATTTCGTAGACATCCACCACTTTCCAGAGGTCCAACATTCCAAATGTCACCATTTGTGTAGACACCCACCGCCTTCTCAAAAAACCACCAATCAGAGACCGCATCTCATAGGCATTCACCTTCATCAAAAGACCCACCATCACAAACACTTCCTTTTAGTGGTCCAACATCCCAAGCACCGCCTTCTCGTGGCCCACCAACCCAAACACCAGCCTTTTTCAAGCATCCACCACCCTCTCAAGGTTCACCAATTCATACACTACCATCTGATAGGCATCCACCTCCATTTAGAAACCACACCACCTTTTCGAGGTCCACCACCCTCTTATGGACGTTCATTACCTTCTCGAGGTCCGCCATCCCAGACACCACCATCTTATAGACCGTCTTCAAGAAGTCCACCATCTTTTTTAGGCATCCACCGTTCTTCGAGAAGTCCACCATCTCAAGCACCACCTTCTTGAAGTCCATTAACACAAACACCACTCTTCCATGGTCATCCACCACCTTCTCAAGGTCCACCAGTTCGACACCACCATCTTATGGGCACCCACCACCTTTTGTAGGTCCACCAAACAAAACGTTACCTTTTCAAAGTCCACCAACTCGAACTCCACCATCTCTACGGCATCCATTATCCTTTAGAAGTCCACCACCCTAAACACCACTTTCTCGTAGTCTACGGATGCTGTCTTTTAGACGACCACCAAACAAAACGCCACCCTTTTATTGGCATACGCCACCTTTTAAAGGTCCAACATTCCAAAAGCTATCTTCTCGAGATCCACCAACCCAAACACCACCCTATTATAGCACCCACCACCATCCCGTAGCCCACCATTCCAAGCACCACCCTCTCAAGGACATCAATCACCTCCTCATCGTCCACCTACCCAAGTGCCGTCCTCTTACCAACATCCACCACATTGAAGTCACCCACCATCTTCTCACATATATCCAACGCGTACAAAAAGCCATTTCTTCACCACCACAAATGATCATGCTATAGTCATATGTACCATATCCCTTCCATAAATAAAGCACATCCTTAATTCAAAGCTTTAAGTATCGATGTTTGTGCACATAGGCCTCAAAATTTTCTCTTCTCTGCATTAAGTTTGTAATAATTGTGTTCGTAGTTCGAACATAATATGAACGTCAATGCATAGAATTACCTCTCCCGCTTCTTAAAAAATAAAAATAAAAAGTCGTATGCTCATATGTGATGTTGCTGCCCAGGATCGAACTGGGGACCTTTAGTGTGTAAGACTAACGTGATAACCACTACACCACAGCAACTCCTTTGTGTAGAATGTGATGGCTTCATTTTCGTATAAGAAACAATATACCCACCAATCATCGCTATGAAATATAATATTTTAATTAAAGATTTAAAAAATTCTACATTTTTCATGATAAACTTGATGGTACTGTTGAGATCAAAACAGTTTCCATGAATAGAACTGGCTTAAATGAAAGTAAATCCTCAACCATCATCCCCTGCCATCCACATCACCACCATAGCTTTGTTGCAATTGCCATTGTTAACGTACGGAATTATTATACCTTCTTAAATCATGAATTATATGATACGGAAAAAAAGTGTCTAGAATGCCACAATTTATTTATTTGTTATTTTTTTGGGTGGGCCGAGGGGTCCTAAAAACAAAAACATGTTTTTTTCCGTAGCTAGATTTACCTCAAATAGAATACCTGAAGGCAATTTCTGTGCCTGCACTGGATGAGTGAAATCTTGTACGCAAGAATGCAAAACCGATGCAGTATACAAAAGAAAATGCCCCTTAATGTCATCTGCTCTCTCTCTTTTGTACCACGAAGATCTTTAAACTAACGTAAGAAAATGTTAGTAACTACGCTAGATCATGCAATTATGTGCACCAAATTTACAAAATTCATTTTATTTTATTTTTTATCTTAATGCATGTTAACGTGCATGTACGAATATGAATATGATCATTTTATCAGTGATGAGATGTTTGCTTCCATCCCATCCTGATCTTTGTTATCAAATTAACGTATTCAGATCAAAGTATTGTATAATCCAATTGGGTGCTCCCGAGTTGGGTTTTGTATCCCTCGCAATTTTTTATTTTAAAATTCGCTTATGTATAATGAGAAATTATTATGTAGTATAAAATAGGTTTAATTGCAAAAATTACTTCGATTTTATTATAATTTGACAACTTTAGATATTTATTATCAATTTACGTAATTTAAACCTCAAAATATCAATTTTTGGTCAAATTTTATCCAAATCCGTTAATTATAACGAGCAATCTAGTTGAGCATTAATTTTATTTTATTTTATTTTTTATTTTTTTGTTTTTTAAAAAAAGTTAAAAAAGTTTTTTTTCTATTTTTCAAGAGACTTTCTATTTAAAATGTTCACATATTAATTCCTTTTATTTGTTATAGTCAATCAAATTGTTATTTGTATATAATTTTTTTAATTTAAAAAAATTATATAATATCATTATCCATTAAAACAATCAACTTCTATAATTAAGCCATTCTATCCTTAATACTTGTCCGGTCAAATAGAAGTTGTTGTTGTTGTTTTTTTTTCCAAGATGATTCCACCAGATGTGGCCACATTTTCTTTACTGTTCTGTCAGTTGCTATTAGTTGGATTTATTTATTTATTACAGTTGATATAAGATCAAATGATCAGATGAACAGAGGGATGGTGGTAGGATGAAAAATACAGTATAAAATTAGAGTAAATGAAGAGGAAGAAGACTAAATACACCTTAACCCATAAAGGGGAGTAGTTGAAGAAAGAAAAGATGTAGAGGATAAGGGCAGTAAAAACCATGAAAACATCAAAAAAATTTTATATTATTCATGAACTAATTAATGTAAATTACACTATAAAAGAAAGATAGGTAAAAAAATAAGTAAAGAAAAAAAATTTGAGTCTAAATAGAAATTTTTATTATTTTTAATAGGTCTTGATGTGAATTTTTTTTTTTACGTTTTTTATTTTCCCGCAAAATTAGATTTGTACAATAATTATGGTACGGTCACATAGTTACGCTCATTACTCAAAACACCCATCTAACAGAAGTAAGAGTGAAACCACATCCTGTCTTTCGGAAGCAGACACCATAACTTGTCTCAATGTGGGCTTTTCAGTCTCCCAAAACTACGCATCTGCCTTCCCCTGCCACTTTCCTGCCTCGCACGTCTCTGAAACCTCCAATTTGCTCAATAACCTTAAATCCCACAACTTCCACTGACGACAATAACAAACTAATTCAATCTCTCTGCAAGCAAGGGAGCCTCAAACAAGCTCTTAAGCTCCTCTCTCATGAGCCCAATCCAACCCAACAGACTTATGAGCTTCTAATTCTTTCTTGCACCCACCATAACTCTCTCCTTGATGCCCAAAGCGTTCATCGCCACCTCCTTGAAAATGGGTTCGATCAAGATCCTTTTCTGGCCACCAAACTCATCAACATGTATTCGTTTTTTGACTCAATTGACAATGCACGCGAGGTGTTTGATAAAACTCGAAATAGAACTATTTATGTTTATAATGCGCTCTTTCGAGCGCTTTCTCTGGTGGGTCATGGAGAAGAGGTTTTGAACATGTATCGTAGAATGAATTCTATTGGGATTCCCTCTGATAGGTTCACTTATACATACGTGCTTAAAGCTTGTGTTGCATCAGACTGTTTGATGTCACTGCTAAACAAGGGAAAAGAGATTCATGCCCATATTTTGCGACATGGGTATGATGGATATGTCCACATTATGACTACTTTGGTCGATATGTATGCAAAGTTCGGTTGTGTGTCTTATGCGAGCTGTGTTTTCAATGAGATGCCAGTGAAAAATGTGGTTTCTTGGAGTGCTATGATTGCTTGTTATGCGAAGAATGGGAGGGCTTTCGAGGCATTGGAGCTCTTCAGGGAATTGATGCTTGAGACTCAAGATTTATGTCCGAATTCCGTGACAATGGTTAGTGTACTTCAAGCTTGTGCTGCACTTGCAGCATTGGAGCAAGGGAGGTTGATACATGGATATATTCTTAGAAAAGGACTTGACAATATCTTGCCAGTAATTAGTGCTCTTGTTACTATGTATGCTAGATGTGGTAAGCTTGAATTGGGGCAACGAGTTTTTGATCAGATGGATAAGAGAGATGTTGTTTCGTGGAATTCTTTGATTTCAAGTTATGGTGTTCATGGATTTGGAAAGAAAGCAATCGAAATTTTTGAAGAGATGACATACAATGGTGTAGAACCTAGCCCCGTATCTTTTGTTAGTGTTTTGGGAGCTTGCAGTCATGCAGGACTTGTTGACGAGGGGAAGAAATTGTTTGAGTCAATGGGTGGAGAGCATGGGATATGCCCTCGTGTTGAGCATTATGCTTGTATGGTAGATCTTCTTGGGCGCGCCAATAGATTAAAAGAAGCTGCTAAAATTATAGAGAATATGCGGATTGAGCCAGGACCTAAGGTTTGGGGTTCTCTTCTTGGATCATGCAGGATTCATTGTAATGTTGAGCTTGCAGAGAGGGCAAGTATAAGGCTTTTTGACCTTGAGCCTACAAATGCTGGGAATTATGTGCTCCTAGCCGATATTTATGCTGAAGCTGGTATGTGGGATGAAGTAAAAAGAGTTAAGAAGCTCCTAGAAGCTCAGGGACTGCAAAAAGTCCCAGGTCGCAGTTGGATAGAAGTTAAAAGGAAAATCCACTCATTTGTCTCTGTTGATGAGTTTAATCCACGGATGGAGCAGCTCCATGCTTTGTTGGTTAAATTGTCAATGGAAATGAAGGAGGAAGGCTACGTGCCACAGACCAAAGTTGTGCTCTATGATCTCGAGGCAGTGGAAAAGGAACGGATTGTACTAGGCCATAGCGAAAAACTGGCTTTGGCCTTTGGACTTATAAATACTAGCAAGGGGGAGCCATTAGGATAACCAAAAATTTGCGGTTATGTGAAGATTGTCACTCCTTTACCAAGTTCATTTCCAAGTTCACTAATAAGGAGATTATGGTAACAGATGTGAATCGATTTCACCATTTTCGTGATGGGGTTTGTTCCTGTGGGGACTACTGGTGATTAAACGCAATGATCTTTTTATTATTATTATTATTTATTTTTCCTAATAATTGGTGATAATTTTGAGAAGAGCTCAGAGAGATACATGTACAGTTGCAACATGAAATATTTGAATGTTAAAAACAGTTTTACTTTATAATCAATCCTCTGCAGAGCTATGGCTTTCATTCTGCGTACTTGCTTTTTACATGCTCTTTTATATGGACTGTTGATGTGATAGACAATCTGATAATCCCTTCTATTGCATTCAACGTTCGAAATCTTGTTGATGTAACCTTCGGTCATTCTTCGGGAATAATATTGCCCCAGTTTAGCATCGACGTTAATACGCTTGTTATCAAGAAGAGGAACATAGAGTAGCTTCTTGAAGTTTGGATTGTTATCGTTATTTACAAATTATTTGCGAAAAATGTAAGGGCAAGGATGTTACACCTTTTGTTGTCCAAATCTTCACACCACACAAAGCAGACTATCTCCAGCATACCACAACCCAGATTGCCCTCGGCCAGAGATGGATATGCACTCCTTTCGTTCGTCTGAAGAGAATTTCCCACTGTGCTCAAGACCATGTCTTCCCTCCCACACTCCAACAGTTCATTATGGCATCTACCATCCCTATTCATTTTATCACGAGTTTGACGGTATTATGGAACAGTAGTTTCTCACTTCTTTTTATTCGAAGTAGCTACCAACTACTACAACGACGATATCTTTCCCCTCCCTTTTCCACCACGAGGCGTCCCTTGTACATAAGTAGCTCAAATCAAGGAAATGAGAATTATGAGATGCTAGATTTCCGGTTCAACCCCGGAGCATGTTGATGTTGCACATATATAGATGTTACCATTGGGGAAGACTGACAAATCAAACGAAAAGGTCACGACATTTAAAAAATACGACCAAAAATCCATATCAAGTCCGTCATTAGTTATTGTAGTACCAAGTTATTTCCTTTTCTTTCTTTTTCTGTGTTGGGTGTTTCAACCCTATTCATAACACGTAAAACCTATTCAAAACATACTCCTTTAAATGCATGTAATGCTTGTCCCTAAAAGCAGGTAATGCCTTGCAAAATTTCTAATACAAAGAATTGCCACGACCTAGTCAAAGAAGAAAAAAGAACATCTCCAGCAAACTGCTTTCCTTTCACTGCACAACCATAGAGCTATCTCGCTTCATTTTGATGAGGCTGCTCTCAATGTTCCGAAGCACTGGCTTATAGCTGCAATGGAAAATGGATTCACTGTCCAAACCTTGCTAAAAATCTTAAAACACCAAATCAAGTTTGTACTCTAAACGGGAAAAGTTACTGACAAACACTTACAGGCGTGCGAGACCATTATATGCCTGTGTGGCTTGTTGCAGTTTTGCTGATAGCTGCATGACCTCTGCTGTTAATGCTTCTGCCCTGCTCTGTTCTTTAGCAAGTTGGCCCTGCCAATAACACAGCCAAAAAATATATATATAAACATTAATTTCTGATTAGAATAATTGTAATAAATCGTACTTCATCTTGCAAATAGTGAAGTTTGGAATGAGCTAAGAGAGGCATCCAAACTCCTTGGAAGAGAACTCCTATCTTTGGGTACCTTGAGCGAGAAAATTTCAGTTGCATATGCTTGTGAACCAGTCTCGGTTACACCATCTATGTGTTTTTCAGCTGAGCCTCTCAGGATTTCCCTATCATTTGACAGAACACTAACCTGTTCTGTTCTCAACTTATCAAGAATTGCACGAAGTTCTTCATTTTGCTTAAGACAGTCCTTCAACTGCAGATGTTACATGTGAGCCAAATTTTCAGTGTCAAAAAACAAATACCGAAAATATAATACAAATGTTGGAAGAGATAATAATGTCAACTACCAAAAAGATTTTAGAAACATGAGAGGCATGCTCAATGAGGACCATCATGAAAGCGGACCCTTGGGTGCAGCACAATCACCACTCCTCTTCAATCTAGAATGAATTGACGAAACAATAACAAAATCCCAAGAGAACTAATTCTCGGGAAAAACTCAATTTATTTGACCAATCAATATTAATAGCATCTTTGAATTTCTAAGTAGGATGCACACTTATAGGCACCAAACCTAATAGAAATAGGAAAACCTACTAAACAGAAAATATAACTAGAATTCTTAAAAATCTACTTTAAAAACTAAATATTAAAAAGAAAGTATAAAAAATCTAGAAAAAAAAACAAATAAAACCAAAATTCTTAAATAATCAAATGCCACTTTCCAATAGAGTAGATGTTCTTCGTTCCCACTCCCTTAGTGGAGAGGTCTTAGGTGCGAACATAAGATTCAACATATAACACTCTAAAGTGGAGGTTTGACAAGTTCCCCTTTCCCATCTAACTCCTGACTCTAAAAACTAACTAATGACTTGGAGAAAAAACACAAAGAAAAACAGACAAGATGAAAGCATGTAAACAATCTGAAATCATAGCTAATTAATTGCACAAATTTGGTAAGGAAAAGTAATATGAAGAATTAAATAATAGAGAATAATCTGTCTGAGAACATGTCTGGTATTTCCTAGAACATTAATTTCTGATTGGAATAAATGCACAACCACAACAGATCTTCCATTTCAAAACATCGAGTCTGTGTATCTACCATAGTTCAAAAAAAAATTTAGTTACCTAGTTTATTTTCTCTAATCCAAGTAATCAATCATACCCCAAATCTCCACTATCAGCTATTACTTAGTTCATGCATCCACCATGGTTCCAAAACAAATTCAGTTACCTCCAATTTATTTTCTCTACATCATGTATTCAAACATGCCCCAAAGTCCACTATGAGCTATCTCTAGACCAAATTATCCATGATAAATTAGTTAATAGTGCACCAAGGCATTCAGATGTCATCGATACACAACATCTAATTGAACCAAACATGGTCACTGAAAAATTCACCTGATTCTCCCACTGTTTTGCTATGCTTGTGGCCTCTTGACAAGAAGATGAAAGAATAGAGTTTTCCTCAAAAAGCTTCTCTATCTCTGAAGATTGGGAATCAATCTGCAAATTGAAGTTATGAAACAATGTCACCTTGGTATAGCAAGTGCACTTTTGGCATCCATTCACATCACTCAACGATAATCAAGTAAGCAAATACTGCACCTCCATTAGAAGTTTCTGTCTACTACTTTCCAACCGCTCAACTGCTACAGCCATATCATGCAACTGCCTCTCAAGTTTCTCCTTCTCTTCCTGCAACACACAATACAATACAATATCAATCACCCCTGATAACAGTAAGTGCAAAATGCTAGTCTTGACTCTTCCATTGATAAAAAAACGAATCAATAATTGATCATAACTTATTCTGATTAAAAAAAAAACTTGGACTGAATATTAATACTATAATTGCATAAGATAGTATTGCAGATACGTCATGATTATCAGACACATGAGTTCAATGTAATTGCAATAACAACCACAGGTATTCCTTACCACTGTAAAGGCCTTAGGGACCCCCTTTTCTGATACTTCTGCATTGCACAAAACCAAAGTCAGTGACCAAGAGAAAAGTAATAGAAAAGATAAAATCTGTATGTAAACGGCCAGCAAATGAGACTTTTTGCATGCACATGCATGAAATTGACAACAAAAACTTTAAAGCCTGCTAGCCTACTAGGAAACTTCTGCAGAGGTGCACCTGAGACCATTCTGGATAGAGCTGCAAGTTTCTCAACCAACTCCTGCTTTTCAGACGTGAGGGAAGAAATCCGGGCTTGCTCCTCCAGTAATCGTTTTTGCTCTTGTTGCCTCAATAACGACACTTGCTATAAATTTTGAACCACCATCAGAAACTGACAGCAAACATTCTAATGGGAAAATAAAGAAAACTATACCAACCTGCAATTCTGTTTTTAAGCCAGTCAATTCCTTTTCCAAGCTTTGCACTTGATCGTGTGAAATGCTTATAGAGCTTATTCCGCCAAATTGATTAGTCATAGCTTGTTGCTGCATTGTGTTTAACTCCGCTCTCAAGGCTGCTGCGTCTTCCTCAGCCTATTGCAAAGAAATTTATTAAAAGAAAGGAACTAAACTGTTTTTTATAAATAATAGTCAAAAGGTGCTTGCATACTCTGTATTGTTCTTCTTCAGCTTCCTTTAGACGTTTCTTAAGTGTGCGAAGCTGGGCTGAAAGGTCCTCCTACACTACAACAGCAGACTTTGTGGGTGTAGCGTGAAGGCAAAACAGCACAAATAGAGCAAAATAAAAACAGGAGGTGATGAACTAAATATATGTACCCGTGAAACAACTGCTGCATCTTTCTCCATAGCTACGTCCTTAAGTGCTTTTCTTAAAGATGGTACAGTATTTTGTTCCTGCAATTTACCAAAAAAGGAAAAAAAGGTTTGATGCCATGCATTATGTCAAAAATCTAAATCCTGTAAACACACAGGCAAGAAGAAACTTATGCTTTTCAAATCTTTGGATTGCATTTCTTATCAACAACGTTGTGCAATAAAAGAGACACCAAATCACACAGAAGCCTTATATTTGATAGAAACACAAAAATCCTTAGAGCTCACTTTCTTATGCACCGGACCCAGCAGGATATTATTCTTATGCCATGAGGTGAAGAATACAGATATCTCACATTGGATATTCCTCTATTTAATGTGTAAATGCACCCTCCATCAGGAGCACCATCAATAATTTGCTAACCAAGCGATTAAATTGAAAATAAAATTGTCTGATCCTTACCAGATCATTTAATCGCTTCTGAAGCGTTTCATTCTCAACATCCTTTGTTTGGAGCTGTAACAGAACAAAAACGTTTTTTAGCATGATGGACAATGCTTAAAAGCTTTCTATAGAGTATTAGAGTCCAGCAGCAGATACAGAACAATTGGTCATATAGCCACCATACCTTTAAGGATAAGATGCTGTTGCTTTCCTCCAAATGTGCATTCCTTTTCTGTAGGTCTTTCAGCTGAGATACTAAACCACTCACATCCGTCTGCACAAATGATTCATAAAATAAACAACAAAATGGCTTTTTCTATAAATATGCGGGTTGTCTGATCAGATAATATGGTTTAATCAGTAATTTTCCAATTTCCTATCAGATTATATATATATACGTGTACATGAGGAAAAAAAAAAAAAAAAACTGAATTCATACCTCGGAGAGTCGATTTCCACTATCAGATTTTCTGATTCCAACATTATCTACGCAAAAATAAAAAATTAAAAAAAGAACTTATAAAGAAATTGAAACAAAGTAGAATTACCAAAAAAAAAAAAAAGTAACGAAAATGAAAAAAAGAAACAAAAGAGGGAGACAGACCATTAGAGATTGAAACTTTGGTTAGATCTGGACCAGATGAAGCTTTGCTTAATCTCTCCGCTGCTCTCTTTTGTCTTATCTCCTCCAACTGCAAAAAAAAATATATCAAATTTTAACAGCAATCACCATCAGATGATCATAGAGAAGGTGATGAACCGTACCGTTCGCCGGCCTAGCGAAGCGTGATGCGCTTCCATCGCAAACGAACTCAAATTTGCAACGAATGATTTAGATTCTTCTCTGCACCTATTGCTAATACTTATTATTATTATTAAGGATTTAAATGGCTGAACGGAGTATAATAAACCGGTTTCTGTTCTAAAAATATACTAAGCTTGTTAAAAAATATTTTATTATAATTAATTGTTCAAAACTCATACTAAGTTTTCTGGGTAGCGTAGTTGGTTATCACATTAGTCTCACGCGCTAAAAGGCCTCGGTTCGAATCCAAGCTTAGAGACGTGTTGATGCCTTTTCAAATAATAATAAAATATTACGATTGTTTATGTAAAAGTATTGTAACAATTCTCCATTTACTTTTTTATAAAATATCAGGCCATATAATTCGAATAAGAAAACAAATATAATATCAATAGTAGTAAACATTTTATTGAATTAAGGCTTTTAAGGGAAACAAATATGAGTTTCAAAACTAGTACATTACAATCTTATGCTTGATCTCAATTTTTATGAATAATTTGCAAAATTTATCTTATCAAAGAAAATGACTCCACTTTTATTTTCATGTAAACATGTCTATTAAAAATGTTTTAATAACTCTAACATTTCATTCAAAAAAAAATTACAAATCACATCAAATATTTTTTTTTAAAGAAATTTAATCTTTTTAATTCGTAGTGGGATATATACACTTGCACTAAAGGGATGAAAGAAATAAATTAGTGCATGTTAATTAACTCTTTTACATTTCGTTTTCATCTTTGAATCTAGATCTTGAAATCTCTAATCAATTAAGTAAGATATCTTCATAAATAGTTTATTTATCTTTGGGTTCAAAATTCATCTTCCTTTATACCATCCAGATCCTATCCTTGCTTAAAGATTTTGTAAAAGGATTAACTAAATTATCTTTTATGTTAATATTATCAATATTTATTGTACCTTTGTTTATATATAACCTCACAATATTGTGGTTTTTAATAGCATGTTTGGATTTTTCATTATAATATTTATTGTGCATAATTTCAAAAAGAGATGTGTTATCACAACAAATTAAGTCATGCGGTATAGTTTTTATTTTTTTGCATAGAAATTTCATATAAAAAATCACATAACTAACATATTTCATCACCAAAGAGACCGAGCTATCAACTCTGCCTCCATTATGGATTTTGCAATAATTGATTGCTTTCTTAATTTTCAACATATTGCTCCTTCGCCTAAAGTGAAAATACAAACAATGGTAGATAATAAATCACCGAGTAAGGTTTTCCAATCAGCATTATCGTACCCTTCAAGTATAGTTAGATACTTTTGACATAATAAGTCATAAGCCATACCATGTAATTCTTTTCAAGTATCACATTAAATGAGTTGTAGCATTCCAATGTTGAGCATTGGGTTTGCTAGTAAACTTTACTAATACTCCAACAATAAAAGGCAATATTAAGTATTCTACAATCTGTAGACTTCCAATAATACTAACATGTTTATATATATATATATCATTAGCATTTTTTTGTAGAAAATAGATGCACAGAGTTTGCTATCTAAAAAATTATATTTTTTCAAAATCTTTTTTAATATAATGAGAATGATCAATAGATATATCATTTGAAATTCAAGTGATTTTCATGCCAATAATCATATTTGCCTCCTCTAAATTTTTCATATCAAAATTATTTTGAAGCAAAAATTTAGTATTACTAATAATATTCATATTTGAATTAAAAGTTAAAAAAAATATATCTATATATAAGCATATAATCACGTGAACATCAATGAAAAAATTATAATATATGAATTTATCACTTTTACTAGTTTTGAAACCATTATTAAGTAAACAAGCATAATTTTTCATGTCACCGATTAACTCGCTTGTTTAAAATCAAACAAAGATTTGTGTAACTCAAATACCTTGTTTTCATTTTCTTGCATTATAAAACCTTAGAGTTGATCTATGTATATTTATTCTTCTAAATTTTTGTTTAGAAAAATGTGTCTTTACATCCATTTGGTGTATAAATAGGTTATGAATAGCAACAATAGTAATAAGCAATCTAATATACGTTACCTTAGTTACTAGAGAAAAAGTGTTAAAAAAATCAATATCTTCTTTTTACTTAAAACCTTTACTCGTTAATCTAACTTTGAACTAGTTTATAGCTCCATTAGGATTCAGACTTCCTTATAAGCACCCACTTACATCCAATTTTTTTGCAACCAAGAGGTAATTCAACTATTTTTTCAAATATTGCTTGAAATAAGAGAATTCATTTAGTCGTTATGGCTTCTTTCTAAAAATCTGCATCATGAAAAGAGAAAACTTGTTATAAAGAAATAGGATCATCTTATACATTAATAAATACTGGGTTTGATATATCATTAAATGAAAAACTTAATATTTTTTTAATCATTTTAACACGTTCTTTTAATATTGAATAGAAAAGACATGAATAAGTTTCTAGTAACCATATTAGTATACGAGAATTTTTTCAGCTTGAATTCTATTTTCGGTTGGCATGACATGGGAAATAAGACGACAACATGGCATAAATACCATGTAGAATTACAAGTGGCTTGTCATTATGATTTCTTCCCAATTCGGATGACATGCCATCCAATTATATGCAAATTCAACAAATTTAACAAGCAATAGCTTAAAATTAATGCGACTTTTTGTATGCAACATTGTGTTAGATTATAGAAATTCTTAAACTGTCCGATTAATGGCAAAAAAATAACAAAAGTTACATGTTTTCTACAATTTAAGCTTAAATACAACAAGATGAAACATTAACCTAAGAAATATTATGAGCCACCTTTTGTTTTAAACATGAATAGTACTACTCCATACGAGTACTTATCGACCTTTTATCTTCCAAAACATAAAGAAGGACGATCTTGGAGAAATGTGACGTCGGTCCCTCCACCACCGAGAGGATGTAACTGCTAGTGGTGACTTTTACCGGACCCCACTTGGTGAGTCGTTAATTGTCTAGCAATCCAAAGAAATTCTTTAACAAGAACCAATGAAAAGAAATGAAAATGCATGTAGAGTGGTCGAGAATCAACGAGACTTACTTGTTTAGTGAGTTAAGGTTAGTATTAGGGCTCCTAAAAGAGAAATTGAGAGAAGATATTACATGAGAATGTAAAGGGAGTTAAGAGAGAGGTCAAGATATTAAGTGTAACGAAGGAAATTGAAATTCAATTGTGGGTGAAATGAAAGTTGTAGAGGTGGACATGGTTTAAGGGGGATTTAGAATTTTCTCTTTATGCTTCTTTACTCTCACATAAGCGAGTGATAGTGATAATGTAACATTGGTTAGATTGTAGAATGTTGGGCCCAAATTGTATTACACAACGTAGATTTTAGTAGAGATAGGCAAGGGACTCGGAGATTGAGAGAGAAGGACAAAGTGAAAGTTTGAATTGAACGTGGAATGTTGTAGTTGAATTTTCTATTAAAACTTGAAATTTTCTCGAGAAAACTTGAAATTTTGCAGTTGAAGTTCTTAAGAAATTTGTGTTTGGTTTGAAAATTTTACGAGAGAAAAGAAAAGGGGATAGTTTGGAGAGTGAGAGCTTGAATTAGACTCTCTTGGAGAACGACATGTTCTTCAAATTAGGGATAAATTTTAATGACAAGACATGTGTAATCATATATGGCATTTATCCCATGCTATCATCCTATCTCGCCATGCCACATCAACTAAAAATGGAATTTAAGTCAAAAAAATTCTCGTTTCGTTGCTATGGTTACCGAAGCTTAGTTTATGTGTTTTCTATCCAACATTAAAAGAGCATGCTAAAATAATTAAAGAGTGCTAAGTTAATGATTTAATGGTACATTGAGCCTAAATAATGATTAGGATCAAACTTTCTTCAACTCTAACCCTTTTACTCCTTATTAGTTCAAGACCATTTTTATTTTCAAATCTTGAAAAAGAAGGTTCAATACTTGTTTAAAGATTTATATCCTCGCCATTTTTTTTTGTTTTGTTTTAAAAGTAAATTTATTTTCATGAAAATAGCATCTAAGGATTAAATAATAGTTTTATTAGCAAGTTCCAAAAATCTATAAGTTTAACCATTCAAAGCATAACCCAAAAATACATAAGTGGAAACTCTTTTGCCAAGTTTTGGTCTTTTATGATCAAGTAGTCTAACAAAAGCTAAGCAATTCTAAACTCTTAAAGAATTCTATTTTGATTTATAACCTTTCCATAATTCATAAAGAGTTAGAAAGGTACTTTTACGTTAAATTTTATTCAAAACAAAATTTACACATAAAATAGCTTCACCTTATAATGTTTTTAGAGCACAAGAACTAACAAGCATAGAGTTTATCAAATCAATTAAGGTTTTGTTCTTCCTCTCAACTCCATTATTTTAAAGAAAAAAAATAGTATGAAGTTTTAACTTTATGCACAATGCCGATAGATTGAATAAATTATTAAAAGCAATGAAACCATAATTTATACCTTTATCACTTCGAAACTTTCAAATTTTTTTGCCAAATCTATTCTCAACTTCTTTTAAGAAAATAATAATCTTTTCAAAAGCTTTGCTTTTATGTAAATTATAAAATAATGATTGCGACTACGAATTAAAATACCATTAAACTCATATATATATAAGTTTTAATACTTTAGAATTATGATCAATATTTTTAAAAGGTTTTCTTAAAATTTTACCCATACTACAAGATTCATATTTTTCAAACTTATTTTCAAATTTAGAAATTAAACCAAGATTACTCAAGTTTTTCATATATTTGCAATTTATATGACGTAACCTACCATGCCAAGCATTCACACAAAAAACTAAGCGAAGTAGTTTCCTCATTTATTTCAATATTCTACTTAAACATCATGTCACAAGCATAACATTTTCTAACAAATAGGGTTTTTTTTAGAAAGAATATAATGATCAACTTTAATAACTTGCTTAAAATCAATTTTATTCCAAAAAAAAAAAAAACAATAACCAAATTCTTACAAATTTCAAAAACATGCAACACATCTTTAAGAGAAACCTCTCTTCCGGATGTAAATTTGATAAGTACATATTTAATCCTCACTACCTTAGTAGTGTGAGAATTACCAAACAATTTTTTTTTCATTCAAGATGGTACAAGTCTTGAATAAGTTTTTATCATAAGATACATGTCAAATAGCTCCTAAATCATCCACCATCTATCTAAACCTTTGAGAATATCAATCTCAAAAACCATAGGCATAAATGGCTTTTTGGCAACATTAGATTAAGCAACAAGTCTACGTTTTTTGAAAAGACAACTTTTAACATCAAATCCAGATTTAGCACAAACAGAACATGTAAAATTGTTTTTATCACCAACGTGGTTGCTATTATTTAATTGTGTTTTAGACATGATCCATTATTTCTTATTTGATTAGAGTAAAAATGATTTTTGAAAGGTCTTTTCTTGAAATTTTTTTCTTTGGCGTAAATTGATTGTAAAACCTTTCATGGGCTTTTGGCATATGATAAAAATTATCATTAAAGGTAATAAATTTTATCTTAGTACCATTTGAACCATTAAGTTCAACGATTTTGTCTTGGTTTATTGCTTCCCCTTCTACTCTCACGCGAGTAATAAGAACTTCAATAAATAGATTTTTTTTATGCCTAAAGCTTTTAACAAAATCTTTCCAAGATTTGACAACTTGTCAATGATTATCAAAACTTGCATTTGTTCATCTACACATATGCCTTCAACATGGATGTCAGCACAATCATTTGAAGTTCATAAGTTTGATCTATCACAACTTTTTCTCCATTCATTTGGAATCTAAAAAAAGATTGCTAGCATATATTTTGGATCTAGCTTTTTCGAGTGTCATACTTTCGGTGTTAAGCCTTTCAAATTTTTTTAACGGAAGAATATACTTGTCACGAGTAATCATAAAGCTTATTTGAAAGACAATTAAATAAAAAAATATGACAATGATTATTATTTTTTTTCTCAATTTTTAACTTCTATATCATGTTTAACTATCTTTTCATCGCTCATATTTTCATTTTTCTTTTTATTTGGATTTTTTTAAGACATAGCCAACATTCAATAGTGTAAGATAAAATAAAGTTTTTTGTCTCTATCTTTTAAAGTTTGCACCACAAAAGTGGAATGACTTGGTAAGGTTACCTACTCCAATGGAGCTTTGCTCATATATAACATTAGTATTCTTCATTAGCCTATCATCTCAAATTATAGGAAAAAAAAAGATATTACCTAAAAAAAGTAAAAAATACCAAAATAGTTCTAGCAAATTTTTTAAGTGATTATCTCAAGATGCAATCATGTTGTGTTTTGGAGATAACACGCGACATTTGTAAAAATTTCTGATGCAGTAGATTAAGTATATATTGCATGTAGTTTCATGAATACAATAAGCTCAACCATTTTGTTGTGTTTAATAATTTTGTTTTATTTATAAGACTTGAAATTCAAAAAAAAAAAAAAATAGTACCACTCTTATCCAAAAAAAAAAAAAAAAATCAAATCAAATTATATAGCTTTTTAGTGGGAGACTAAAACAGACAAAAACAAAAGGCTATTTGTTTTTTTATTTTTATTAATATTTTTGATGTTGTTGTGTATCTTGTCATGTGACAAAGACATGTATATATAGACAATAAGAAATAGCCGTTTGAGAAGAAATGAATGACTACAATCTTTTTTCTTCAAAAGATAAGAAACTAATAGTTGAATTATTGCCTTTTCAAATGGTAAAAAAGAAACACTTAATTGTATCTATTTATGACTGTTTCAACAGTATATTGTACTGTTTTAAAACAATATTGATTGTCATGCTTTTATTCCATGCTTCAGCTGGCACCGAGCTGCATGCTGGAGAGATTTGTTGTAACAGTTCAACATATAGGCGATCTAGATGTTAAGGACTTGCTCTATATTAATTAAGGTAGTTTTTTTCCTACTTTTATCTATCTACTTGGTTGGCCCCCTCAATTTTATATTAAAATAAATAAATAAAATATACGACATGTTCAATAAATTGCTAAATATTCCTTATTTCCTCTGCTTGTTTTCACAAATTTACAAAGATATTAGCAAATATTTATTACCACAGCACGAAAACCCCAACCACCGAATTTTCCTACTTATTTATCAACAAACCACAGAGCCAACCCTTTGATCTCCTGTGCATATACATTTGGTACCCACTACCAGCTATCAGACGATCATCGTCTACTTTTGATGCTGATAGCAGCACAAGTAGTTATGCAGGGAGCTATTTTCTTAGAATGTCTCTTTCCAGCTATAACGACCGCTAATGCTTGGTGAACTAATAATGATGAGCAAACAAATATGTAAACGATTTACAGCATTTAGAATTAACCAAATCTTGAAAATTGGTAGGAACTCCCAATGCATCAAATTTGAATTTTGTTAACTTGCTCACTCTGCCTAAAAGCAGTGATCAAATACATAATGATATGCTCAAAAAACATAAAACTTGACTCATGTCTCCTGTTAAACTGAGATAAAGAGATCCACCCATTGCAAGCAAGCCTACAGGAGATCTCGCGCGAAGAGAACTCATACGGACAGGAATACCGCCACATCTACCTCAGTATCCCCATCTAGGTCAGGCTCACTCCTTCATCTAAGGATAAGCATTAAATAAAAGACACCACCCCATACGTCAAACTTCGAAAATAATGCTATTTATGTCAATAAGAAACATTCACTTAGAAGAATTTTTATCTTGTAGAACGCTTATCAAAAGTCAATACACAATAAGAAAAAGAATCGTTTGCTCTCGAGTGAAGGACGAATACGCCTCCACACTATTTAAGTTGGTCATCTCCCTCCACTATATAAAGCTTAACCCTACATATGCTAGAAGTTTTCCTTCTACACATTTCACATATAGAAAATAGCATATTAGTAAGTCTAACCAGACTATACATACTAAAAGATATACCATCAAATCTAATCAGGTTATTTATCTATTTCATGCACTAATTTAGCAATCGAAAGGTTTTTCAAAATCTACAAAAGAAATTTGTTTTGCAGGTACCTGCCATAGAACGCTAAATACAAAATCTAATTTTCATAGCACGATCAAATAGGAAAAAAGCACTTGAACTGTGTCCAAACCGTTCTTATAAACCGAAAGTCCATCACCTTATCACATACCAATGCTATCAACAATCAATGAAACAAAATTGAGTGCGAAAAATTCATTGTATTTCAACCAGGATATTACAAGTTTTCTGCCACTGTGCAGATTCTTTCCACGACCATGGAATATCTTGCTTAGGATTGAGTTAATCTAAAAGGACACCGTTATTTTTTAATTTATACGACGGACAGGTGCATGTTATATGATCCAATTTGGTGCTCACAGCAATGTACAGCCAGCCTGTCCATTTCTGATTAGTACTGTTACTTGCTCATGCAAACACAATCAGCAAGGTGGTGGTAGTACTTGTCCTTCATCGCTAATTGGTTCCACATTTTTGCGAAGATACATACATACCGCAAGCTAATACTTCCTTAACAAGATCAAACTCAATCATTCACAGGTTTCAACTTTTTAAGGAATCTACCTCTTTTCACTTTAATGTCTTGTAGACCAAAGCTTTACAGCTCGGGGATTTTCGGTTTCAATTTTTTTAATCATTAAACTTGATAAGGTAAGATAAACTTATTAATTACGCCATTCAATTAATAGGTTTAGTACTGTGTTAAACTGTAAACCTCCATATTTTTCGGGCACAGCTTGCTGGCTTGCAAGTATCATATTGGTGGTGACATGGTGGACCAATACAAACAACAAAGATTTAAAAAAAAGAAGGAAAAAGTTTTTCGCATAATTCCTTGTTTTATGCCAGCAAAGCTTATTAACTAAGCAATCATTACAATAATTTATGACTTTCGAGCCTTTTTAGTGTTTGTTCTTATAGAAGAAAGGAAGTAAGAAGGAAATTAATCTGAAGTGAGGTGGCACTACCCCTAGTTCAGGTTCAGCTATGAGGAGCATAACCAGCTGGTGTACTTCCTGCATCCCAGGCCGTAAGCAGAAAGAAACCAAGACGGAAGAATCAAAGAAGTCTTTACGAAAAAAATCTAGTGGTCCTGATGACCAAGCTCAAGGAGCCACCCATGCTGCCAGTAGTGATACTGGTAGCGCAGCTGTTGTAGTTATGACTGCAACCCATATGTCTGCCATGGAAGGCAGTGGTTGCGGTAGTTCTCACGGTGGCGATGGGGGTGGCGGTGGCGGTTAATCAAGTAGTTCCGATTTGATTGTGTTTGTTACCATTTTGATCGATCTTACTCTTTTGTTTTGGATTGTAATCATTCCTCTCTTGCTTCTTTTCTTCCTTCAAGTTATTGCTGTCTTTGAGTGGCTGCAGCAATGCGAGACCAGAAAATTTGGGGTGGAATCTGTAAGATGTTGAAAGCCAATGGGTCAGCGTTTATTGATCCATTTCATGTGTGGAAACTGGAAAGTGTGATGTGTGGGATTTTTTATTTGTTTTTAATTTTTGGGGACAATGTGCGTGCGATTTATATTCATATGTAAGAGAGAGTGTACCTGTGCTTTATGTTTTTCAATATTTATTTCCCACCTGTTATTTTTTCACTTTGTACTGCTTATGCAATTCCTCTTTCTATTGGAACCGAAATTCGACTTCCGTTATCTAAAAACGAAGTGAAGGAACTTTTCTATTTCAGATCATTTTACGTTGTACTGTTGACTGTTCTTTTTTTTTTTTTTTTTTTCTTTTGGTCGGCAGGGACATTGCATTAACTGTCAGCTAAATTATACCTTCTTCAATCAAAATAGAAAAGCATTTTACCATGACTTCCCCACTATTTTAGTTGGTAACTAGTTGGATAACCAATCCGCATTGCGATCGAACAATCGTTATATATGTAAGGTTAACGATTCATATAGTATAGTGTAGATAAAAATCTTATTTATAATGAGTGATATAAATCAAATCTATTTACCGAGCAAAATTGTTTAATTTCTATATATTTATTAACAAAATAATCAATAATATTAGTATAAAAAGTTGTATTTGAATAATTGAAAGGTTATTTCAAAATATTATTTTAATTATTTTATTTCAAAAAAATTTCATCTTAGAACATAAAAAAAAAAATAACAAATAATCGGTATTATGTATGCGAGTTACATAATTAATTTTCAACAAATATATATATCATACTTAGCAAATTTAGAGCTTATAGCATAAATATTTTTTTACATATATATTTATTGAGCAAAATCAATCGATTTATATATATTTATTAACAAAATAATCAATAATATTAGTATAAAAAGTTGTATTTGAATAATTGAAAGGTTCTTTCAAAACATTATTTTAATTGTTTTATTTAAAAAAATATTGATTTTAGAACTAAAAAGGAATAAATAAGAAATAATTGATGTTATATATGCGATTACATAATTAATTTCCAATAAAATTATATATATATATATTATGATCATACTTAGCGAGGTTTAGAGTATATAGCATAAACAATTTTTTTTAAAAAAAAACCATCTAAATTGTATGGAATATATTAAAGTCCATAAATTAAAATAAAAACTACTACAAAATTAATTCTCATAAATTTTACTTCTTAATTTATGATGAAAGATGTCGACGGGGACCTATGGAGGGAAACGTGTAGGAACGGGAGTTGCCACCTAACTAAATGAAGAGAAATAGAAAACCCTAAACATACCGATTTGCATAAATATCTAGATAAGGGGTCGGTTACGTATGAAAAAATATAACATCATCATCATCCTATCTTACACGAGATAAAATATGTTTTTTAATGTGAAAATAAAAAATATGATTTTACTATGATATGCTTCTATCCTTATTTGAGTGAATTTATTTTATTAGAGTAGAATAAGAGAGTAATTCAAGATTTTGGCCGATTTGAAACCAATAACTATACTCAAAAGGGAAAGGTGGAGAAAGTTGGAATTTCAACTAATCTTTAGCGGACATGACCTATACCGACAAGTAGGTGAGTTTTTAAAGATTGATGGTCTTTTATTAACATAAGTAGTGAGCCATCAACAATCTCACTCACACAATTGGGAAGCCATCGACGATTTGAAGTCATGGATTTACGAAATTATCAAAAACTTCATCGCATAAGTGGAAAGTCATTGATAATTTTATTTCGCACGAGCGAGGAGCAAATAAATGGTTTAAAAGCCATTGGTGACTTTGTCACATAAATGGAAAGCCACTAATGACTTCATGTTGAGTAAACGAGAAAACAAGCAAATTGATTTGAAAGTCACTAGTGGCTTTGTCACATAAGTGAAAAGCCATCGAGAATTTCATTTTGAATGAATATAAAGTAAGCAAATTGATTTAAAGCCACTAACACCCTTATCTACACAGGTGGAAAGCCATTGGTAGCTTCATTTTTCGGATGAGCAAAAAACAAGCAAAATGACATCGAAATCATTAGTGGCTTCATCACATAAGTGGGAAGCCATCGGTAGCTTCATTTTAAAAAATAGATAGCAAGTAAATTGATCCGAAAGTCATTGGCAACTTCGCCCATACGGATAAGAAGCTATCCGTAACTTAGTTTCAAACAAACGAGAAGCAAGTAAAATAATTTCAAAACCACCGACAATTTCATCATAGGAAGCCACCAATGATTTTATTTCAATGACTAGCTTTTAGATAAAAATTATCTTGGGCCCACTAATGATTTCATCCATATAGGCGGAAAGTCGCCATCGGGTTCATTTAGGCAAGCATAACAATTGGATAACATGTATTGAACATAAATATTACACATTCGGAATATCATAAACAAGTATACCAAATCAACCACATCATAACTTAAGCATAAGCATCATATTCAAATACAAACACCGAGTACCAACATTTGTCTTGGATCCACCATTGAAATTAAATCTTGATCCTAGTCCTCTCAACTCCATCATAGAGCATTGATCACCAACCTTACTTTACCTCTCAATGCTTAGGGTCTCCGACCCTTTCGGGTTCAATACACAACGATGTATCTAATCACACTTCAAATTCTTTAACAATCACAATCAAGGAAATGTTACATTTCAAAATAAAGAAATTTAACTACTAATATCAAACGGGTATAAATTTTTGAATGTTATCCAAAATAAGTCAAATAGTGATGAAGCTGCCAAAAACACTTTGTTTACGATTAGTTCTACTCTCTTCGTTCTCAATGAGAATTGATTATTTAGTTAATCGAAAAGGAGAGTAGCTACCTATTGTTAAGATTGTTGGTGTCAATTCCATTAGAGTGATTGTCTTTTTGGCCTAGAATGCTAATGAGCTATTATCCGTAACTTCTAGAGCATAGGTTGTTTGGAGCCATGTCTTCTAGAAACATTTGGGATCGGATGGAGATTTCTTTTGGTCTTGGTCTCTCCATAAATGTTTTAGGTATGCATGTCTTCTTTATGAGTAATTTTGAATCATCATAATCCAAAGTGTATAACTCTAGATATGGAAAAAACACTAAGTAGTGTTTTAGACATCACGAGGATCCGAATTTTTTACTCGACTTTACACCCAACTTTGACGACTCAAACCATAATAGGTTTTTGTGCAATCTAAAAATATTAATATGTCTAATTCAAACCCTAATGACATCTCTTTTCTTTCTAGATTGATAAGAAGGTGAAATCCCCCAATCTTTCTTTAAAAGTTAATTTGTTAGCAACGAGACTTTCATATGTTTTAGGAGGCTATTTTAGCGATTTTTGGTGGTTTTTTTGGAGAATTTTTTTATTGATGGACAGCGATGGGTTAGAGAGGCTATTAGAGGGGTTTTTTAGGTAGAAGAGTGGCTAGAAAGTGGTAGAAGAGGGGTTGAACAACAACGGCTATTGTCTAATTCATCACTTGTCTTCCCTATTATTCTGCCACTATTTTGGAAACTTGGAGTTGATATTTTGGTGGCTTGGAGACCATTGCAAATTGCGGTAGTGGTGGCCAGATTATAGAAGGTTACAATAGCAAAAGAGGGTCAACAAGTGGAGGAAAAGCATATAAAACGGAGTTGCAACGGTGACACCAATGGCTATCATGAAGAGGGGCTATTTTAACAAATTTGGATGGTTTTTTTGAAAGGTTTCATTGATTAAATGGAGATGGAGAGGTGGGTGGCCGGACTTTAGGTTATTTTTTATTTTGGGGATGGAGATTAATGGAGTTTTGATGGTGGGTATAAGCGATTTGGCCGAAGTAGATGGCGAGTGAGAAAGATGATGAATAGTGGTAGTCCTATTAAAATGAGAGAGAGTATGCGTATTTATAAGGAAAAATTATGATTTTGAGCAAATATTAATTTGAGTCCCCGACTTTCCATGTATGTCAATTTTAGTGTCATTTGGCTCGTTTGAACTTAAATGGCGTCTCTTAATTGCCATTAATTAGGACCTCTTCTTTTAATATTCCTCAATTTTACCCTTTTTTTTAATTAAGGATTTGGGGTTTTAGACTTTCCAATTGCACTTTCAATTGGATCAAGCTGGGTCTCTCTTGGTTTTCAAACTTTATCTTTCTTTTAATTAGACCCTCCAAATCGTTTTTCAAATAACTCTCTCTCTCTCTCTCTCTCTCTCTCTCTCTCTCTCTCTCTTAACTTACAAATTTAAAAATAGATGGGTAAAAATTGGGCGGCTAACAAAATAGATTCTTGAATTGCAAATTAAATTATAAATTAGTTCATCTTTTTATGATAAATGAATTAATTAGTTCTTTTAGTTTTAAAAATAATTTTTAAAAATTTTTAATTAATGTTGGACACAATTAATTTATTTTTTTATTTTATAAAATATCTTTTTTATTCATATTTTTACCTTTTTTTTTAATTCTTTCTCTATTTCTTAAAACAAAAAAATAAATTAAATTAAAAAAATAAAAAAGGACAAAAAAAAGTTTTTGAACCAAATGGACTAATTTATAATTTACTCTTAAATAGCAAGTGGCTTTGGCTTCTCTATCGAAAATAAGAATAAAAAAAATTGAAAGAAGACGAAGCATTAAATGCTCAATTTGAAAAAAAAAAAAAAAGAAAAGAAAATGCAAAAAAAGGCCCTAGAAGAAAATTAAAAGGAGAATCGATCAAGAACAAGAATGGAGTTTCTCAAATCCACCAAGTGGCAAAAGAGAAATTAACAAAAAGTTAGAGAACGAAATATCAAGCAACCAACTTATCCGTTGGGAGGGAAAAAATAACTAAAAGGCGGCATTGCACATCCGACTACGGCAAGAAGAACACACTAGCAATGGACGGCCCGGATTGACAAACCTTCTCCAAACAATGTTGTTGAATCATAATGAATAGTTAATCCGAGTCTCAAATAACTATAAATGAATAGTATCCAAATAGCAAATACATCGATTCTTTTATTTTTTTTTAATCACACAATTTATACATATACGGAGACAAAGTTACATGAAAAGTATTAGTTATGTGCATGCATTATGAATTTACTCATAATTAACCTATACACTTTTGAATTATTTTCTACTAAGTCCCTTTATCATCTTTTGTTTTGATTGAATTCATGTATATTATACCATATTTATGTTGTGGCCCCTCCATCGAATTGATAGCTAATCAATAAAATCGAACCAATTTTAAGGAAGTGTGGAAAACAAATATAAGACAATACAAAATTAAAAGAGTCTAACCATTCCTGAATTTTAAGCTATTTCAAATCAAGTTTTTGATATTTTTATTAGTTTCAAAGATCCTTCAACTTTTAATTTTTTTAAATTTAAAACATCCTTCGAGTTTTTTATGATTTAATTATCTAAAAAATAACAATCATATAAATGATTTTGTATTGGAAATCATTCAATGAGATTTACATGCGACTTTTAAAACAAATTGAGATCATTTTGGGATTATTTTTTATTTTTTATATTTTTAATGTTCAAAAAATAAACAAATATAGTTTTTGGTTTTGAAAAATTCTAAAACTTTTATACAAAATGAATTGAATTTTTTTAACGTGTGTGAAAGTTTTTAGATCAAAATACTAAAAATTGAATATTTCGAGTGAGAAAGATGATAGTTGAAAATTATTAGAGAGACTAAATTTGAAAAATTAATAGTTCAAAAATCCCCAAAACTAATAAAAAATTTCGGGAATAGTTAGACTTTTTTAGCCATAATAATACAATTGTAGATAAAGAGATACATTATGATAATAAGTAAGATTTTTATAATTAATAACTTATCAATTTAATTTAAGATGCATATTTTTAAAAATATTTATAAAATAAAATAGTCGAAGCAAATTCTAACAATGAAAATTGGCTAATTGATTATAAAATATTATGAACTATTAGTAAATTTTTTTTTTTTTTTGGCTATTTAAGTCTCTTAACTTTCTTTTTTTGTAATTAAATTTTTTAATCTCATTAACTAATTTCAGACTATATAAGAGATGCATGGAGTCATAAAACAACGATACATGTCCCGAACATAATTTAATTATAGACAATTTTCAGACTATATAAGAGATGCATGGAGTCATAATACTTTTTTGTAATTAAAAAGTATTGTTGTTCTTTGACTCCATATGAGTCCAATGTAATTTAAAATTGGTCAACGAGATGAAATAATTTAATTATAGACAAAATAAGTTGAAAACCCAAATTAAAATAAAAAAATTTGAGACTTTTCTCCTATTAACCAATAATTCAAGATATTTTATAATCAATTTGCCCTGAAAATTTTAATTTGAGTTGGAAAACATAAAAGATTACACAATTAGTTACTTGATCCAAAAAGTCATTTTCCATCTTATTTAGCGTTTATTCATATGCTTGTTTTTTTTTTTTTTTTTTTGAAATTGAAAAGATCAAAACCAAATCACGTGAAGTAAGTTATAAATTGTCTCTCTTGTTTCAAGAAATAAATTAACTAGTCTCTTTTTTAAAAACTAATAATTTAATCCTTATATTTTAAAATTTATTTATAATTTAATCCCTTTTGCTTTTTTTAATTTAATTTATTTTTTAATTTTAAGAAATAGAATAAGAGAAAAAATATAAAAATCAATGAAATAAAAAATATTTTATGAAATAAAAATAATATTAAATTAAGTATAATTAATACTAATTAAATAATTTTTTTTAAATGAGAGAGAATAATTAATTTTTTTTTGAAACCGGAGGAAATAGTTAATAATTTACTCCATCACGTGGGAGAACATAAGTGTGGTCAAGGCAGCTCCATGTTTCTCAAGCACAAAGGAGGTGATGTGAACCTTGTCGTCATTGGCATGTGCACGCACGAGGGGAGACCCAATCTCGATTTTGGAAGGTAAATCAAAAGGTGTTAGATTGCACTGAAACTACTGGGGAAGGCTCGGCTGTTGCTAAAACTTGGATTTGGTAAGTAAAATCTAAACGCAACAAAATTTCTCTTCAATGCTCGCTTGCATAATTTAATAAACAATGAATTCAGAAAATCAATTTTTTTAATGCACTATGTTAAATGAACTTAAAAAAACATTTTTCTTATTTTGAGCGTCTCGTTTTATATTTATTTTGGCCCGATCAATATAGAGATTTTTCGAGTTGATTGCGTCTCGTTTTATATTTATTTTGAATGAAAATGAGGCAGGGATGATATTGTTTGTCGGTCCGTTTGCTCCGCATCATCTTTAAAATTATAATTATATCTTATATAAAATCTATAATTATTGATTTTTAGAATTTATTTTTTATATGAATTATTTTTTTTTTGCTATAGTTTAAAATTTACTGATAAATCGAGAATCTTCATCTTTATTTTGAGCGAGAATGATATGAGAAATGTTGCTTCGTGTTTTGCACGAAGCGAAAACGAGGTAAAATTTCCAAAGGCAGGCTGGGAGTGAGGATGCCCATTGCCATTCTTACCTCAGTGAAAGCCGAGTCTAAGTAGAATAGAGTGGAAGAAGGAAAGTATCTCTAGGGCACCTACGAGATCCGGTCCCCTACCTGCTTTTTCAATGAGATTCGATGGACATGACTGACTTTCGATAGGTGCCAAGTAGATGCAATAAATGGGTGGGTTGGGATTTCGAATGTCCACATTAGCTTCCTAGAGATATTACAGATATTGTATATCTCTGCTTGATTAGTCTCTTTTAAAGAAATATTTTGAGTTTTGAACTTAATATGAGCGCAGTGCGGTTCCTCGTGCAAGTCTCACATTGAATGATTTTAAGGATACATCTTTCCATATTGGTTTGAAGTGCATTCATAAGAATTGAATAGATATTGGCTTTAAATCTAAAATATCAAGAAAATGAACAAACCTTCTCACGGCCAGGCTAAGTTCTTGGAGCTAGGTTATTTTTCGAATTACTTCGAATATCCACTAACAATGAGTCTCTTTCAAAACGATTTTAAGTTACACTATTCACACGAAAGTTTCCTATTAAATATATGGTCTACATGCATGTAAGGAAAAAAAGACCTTACCCATTTTTAACTATTTAGGGGGGGGGGGGGGGGGGAAATAAAACCATTATCAAAATACCGCTCTTCACATCGCATGCTCAATCACTAGCACAAATGAATCTGGAATATCAATGCCTTTTTCTGGAGATAAGAAACGCAGAGGATCATTAATTAGACAGAGGTCATAAAGTGCAAAATTGATTGGATAGGGAGTTACATGGATAGAAATTCAGCATCTCCCTCTGGCCATGCAAGATTGCATCCCTATAATGACCCCATTAACGTAAATCTCCATATTCACTCCATACATATTTCCGATTTTTTAAATATTATGAAACGTATCTATCTCGTAGTATCCTACTTTTAAAGCACAATTACTCTGGGCTGCTTTTTTATTAAAATACAATGCCTTATCCTTTGATGTCTATAATGATTTGCAGAGTGATTATAATCTCCAAATCACCGTTTAACACAAAATTAGTTGTATTAACTTCTTTTTCCTCAAGTGGGTCAATTTTTTTTTTTTAACATTAAGTGATTTGAAAACAAGTTTTTTAATTTTTAATTTTGAGTTGGATTTTTTTCAAATTATTTTCATTTTGTTAAGTTTTTGCCAATCCTAACAATATAAGTACACGAGACTAGTACGTAATTGACTTTTATAATTTCCTCAATAATTACAAATTTGTTAAAACTTATAAATTTTTTATTTTTCACTTTAGAACTCATATCTTCTTTCTAAAATATTATTTAATCGATAACTTCTTTGTGATTAGAGGGAAAAAACAAGTTTTGTAGTTTACCTCGTGGATTTACATAATTAAGAACCACGAGTTGATTTCCTTTCCAATAAGGATACCTCTCCCATTAAATCCAAAACATACAACAAAAATAAGATATACTACCAAAAAAAAAAAGAGCCCAAAAGTAAAGAAAATAAAAGGCCCAAATTATCTTTCTGGTGACGGACTGTACTGTCTCGTTTACCTCGTGGCATCTGTTGCTTCATAAACCTCACTCTCACTAAATCTTTTACTTCTTTTAAGTTTTGTAGTTAAAATCAAGCAAGGAGTGAGCCAACTTCTTCGCCCTCTTCTCTCATGGCCTCTGTTATCGAATCTGGCTGGCTGGTACTTCCTGTCTCTCCTTTCTTTCGCTCTTTATGTCCGCTAGAACACCCTGTCTTTATCTTTATTTATTATTACTGGCAGATTTGATTTCTCTGGATCTGCATGTATCTTGCCTACTTGTAATGTAAACTCTGATAAATGTTTTAATTTTTGAAGCTTTAATACATAAGCTAAGTGAATGTGGAGCTAGCGGCATTTTTTTCCGGATCTTTTGTGCCTGAATGGACACATGGGTTTCTGAAAAGTGCAATAAAGTAGCATTTATGATGGATAATATTCGATATCACATTGCTTGTTGGCCTTGGAGATTGAGATCTCTGTAATTCATATTTTGATCACTCTATTGCTTTTCTTGATAAGGTTAGCGCAGGTCTAGTAATTAATTCCTTGTGGGGTTTTTGTTTCTTGTTATATTTGTTATTGGAAGAACATTTGACTGGTTTTGTTATTATATGCTAGCATGTAAACTGCAAGCTTTGTTTGTCGAACTATATATTAGTTAGTCTTTAACTTGAAAATGAGATAATGGAAGTGTTTTAGTTTGGTCAAATGCTGTGGCTTGATAATTCATAACACTAATGGTTTTCTTTTCTATGCAGTATTTGATTACGCATTTCAGCGATTTTCAATTGGCATGTCTTGGAAGTTTCTTTCTTCATGAAAGCGTCTTCTTCTTGTCTGGACTTCCTTTCATTTATCTTGAAAGGGCTGGATGGCTGAAAAAGTACAAAATTCAGGTTGCTCTTTTTCTGATTTGCTGTCATTGCAATTGTTGAATTGAATTTGATGAAAAGGGTCTGTATGGCTGATCCCAATCTGCATTGCTATTGTTGATGTCTTTAGTTTCTCGTTCTGTTAAGGTGAATTAGTGACGTTGTGAGACTTCTTTCAGACATTTGCATCCCCAAAGGCATTGTCATTTTAGTGTCGTTGCTAATTGGTGATTGTATGCAGATGAAAAACAATACTCCTGCAGCTCAGGAGAAATGTATTATTCGCCTACTCTTGTATCATTTTGGAGTTAATCTACCAGTTATGCTAGCCTCCTATCCTGTCTTCAGACACATGGGCATGCAAAGTAGTCTTCCATTCCCGTCCTGGTATTTTCAGGTTCTTTATATCCTAAAGCTTTTTTAGCTAGACACTATTGTGTCAGATGCTATAGTTGCGAAGCGATATATAGCTATCCTTTTATTTATTTTTTGGATAAAATATATGTGACTGACTCCTTCTCACACTATTTTCATCGCTTCTGGAGCATAATTAAAAGATTATGTTTTGTTTCTGCTGCAGGAAAGTAATTCTAACGCAGATAGCATTCTACTTCATCCTGGAAGATTTCGTATTCTACTGGGGACATCGGATTTTACATACAAAATGGCTGTACAAGCATGTGCACAGTATCCATCATGAGTATGTAAAAGAGCCTCAAATATTTCTCTCTGGCATAAATTTCTGACGTTCATTATCGACAAGGTGCTTTTATGCTTCACGTATAGTTTTTAATGTGTTTGTCACTTGTACAGATATGCTACTCCATTTGGATTAACTTCCGAATATGCTCATCCTGCTGAGATACTGTTCCTTGGCTTTGCTACCATCATTGGTCCTGCCATCACTGGGCCCCATCTGCTAACTTTGTGGTTATGGATGGTACTAAGGGTCCTGGAGACAGTCGAAGCACATTGTGGTTATCATTTCCCGTGGAGCCTCTCCAATTTTTTACCTTTGTATGGAGGGTGAGTGTTTGTGAACCTGTATGTTTTATGTTCATTTATGCCATTGTTTTTTCTGACATTTGTTTCAAAAATTTTCCAGTGCTGATTTTCATGACTACCATCACCGCTTGCTGTATACTAAATCTGGAAACTACTCATCTACTTTCACCTACATGGACTGGTGAGTTTTGCCCCCTCAGAGCATTACCATTATCTCTGTTAGGTGCCTGAAATGTAAGCTATGAAAACATTTTATTTGAGTCATTTGGAGCTGACTCATTAAAGTTTGTGTAAAAGGCTAGAAGGCCTACTCTGCTCCCTGTCTGGGTATTCACTCTGCAAACAATCGCCTGGGCTGGATTTTGATTAGCACTCTGATTCCTCATAGCTGGGTTTCTGTGCTTGCTTGGTTTTTAGGTTATTTTTGTCCCAGCTATCCCAGGTTGTAGTAATGCTTGTAAAAGGTCCTCTCCATTATTGAGACTTACCCTAACTGGCACGGATCCTTGTTAATTGAAGTTGTCTCAGTGCTGTCCATTGTAAACTCACAAAATTGGTTTGAAATCCGTTGAGGTGGTTTTTGCTAAGATATAAGTAAATCATATTTTCATGTGTCGTTCAAAACATTTTCTTTGATCCATAAGGTTTTTCCTCAGCTTTTGCATCACGAAGTGTGGCATTCTGAGTACTTTTAGCAATTATGGCCAGAGTCATGTCCTTTATCTTGATGTAGATGTTAGTGCAGTATAATGCCAAGACTTGCAGCAGCAGGGACTCCTCCTTGCAAGCCACGTGTCAAAAGAAGTTTCCAATTTGTAGGGTTTGGTGCCCTATATTTTGTCTGCATGAGCAGTTGCATGCATTACCTTGTCTGTGCATGTTATGTCTTTTAGGTCCATATCTTGTAGGGTTTTTGACCATACTGATTTTAACTCATTTACTCTGAATGACCTTTTGTGTTTTATAAATGAGAAGTTTCAATCTATTAGAATTTTCTGCATAAAATTTGCAACTTTCTTTTGCCATGTGTTACTTTTCCTTGCTCTTTCAGAATTGCCAAACGTCCAATTTCACATGCCGTGTGGGAAATAGTAGCATATTTTCTATCGATCATGATGTGATGGATTTTTCTGTCCTTTTATACTGTCAGGGTATTTGGTACTGACAAAGGCTATAGAAAGTTGCAACAATTGAAGAATGCTGGGGTGGAAAATGGTGGCAAGCAAATGTAATGTAGAGAAGATTCTTTTATATTAGCCTGACATCAGATAATGGGTTCCTGGTATGAGGGCACCTTCTGAGTTTAGTTGATGCTCATGGTACAGCATGTTAGTTTAATGTGAATAAATGGAAAGCTTTTTCTAGACATCTTGTGCTCGTCTGTTCCGTGCATGAATGAAGTTGCTTTCTCAATGTAAATCTTTTTGTTTCAAACTATTCAGAAGCATCTGCCTCTCTAACTGTGCTGGATCCCAATTCCTTGTAGGCTATAATTTGACTCTTGGATTAGAGCCAGCTAATGTAGTTGACATGATGTCAATCCAATTTCAGCTTAAATGTACTTATAGGAGAGAGCCAATGCATGTGCCTTTATTTGTTTGCATTATTTATCCTATTATCCATCTGGGGACTAAATGTGATCGAGGCTGGTTGTTCAAAGGATACGAGCATCCCAGCTTGGTAGGATCTTACTGAATCTACACCAATATTTTGTCAAATACCTCTGATGATAAATGTGATTCTTCCAAATTATAGGAAGTCTTTATGCCTTAAACCTAACCTAAGTGCAACATTACTACTTATCCTGAACTGTTACTCTAGTGGTTGACTTATAGTAGAAAGTGATGTTTGCATGAATAAACAGGCACTCCTTAATATCCAGAAAAATCCTCTCCTCTCCTCTGCCAAGAATATTTGACGTAGCAATTTATGGCCTTTTGATATGGTCCCCTTCCCCCTGGATGTGAAATACTGGGATGGAGATGCATCGCGCGGCAAGGAACCGTCATTTTCCAAAATAGCTGTATTCTTCTCTGTTCTCATCCTTTAGGACTAGTGCAATGCCGCTTTCTGAAAGAGAATGAAAGTGAGCGTTATAGCATATATCTTTTCCAAATTTCCTCTCTCACCTAACAGGTATACCCGTAATTCTGTGACATAATATCGGCCTAGAGGTGAAGTACATAAGATATTTTGGATGCTATAATCCCTTTTCTTTTGGGTTTCGAGCATCCCTAAAAGCGTTATATGATCGGGACCAGACGTATTGCTGTAGTCTCTCACTCTTTTTTTTTTTTTTCCTTCAACTTCCATATCCTTCTTGGTCCCCTCTCAAGATTTTTTTGATGTCATCAGATGACCAATGTGTTCCTCTCTTTATAGAATCAGTGTGTCACCACAATCATTATATGGCTTTTACATTTTTCTGTGGATACATAAATTCTTCTTGTTATTATTTTTTAATTCTTTTTGGGTACATCTCAAAAACATATCAATGTACTCCTTACATTTGCTTGCCTTCATTAGAGAATGTAATGGGCCATAGTTTTTTTGTCTCTAACCTCTTGAAATTTACATCAAATAAACTCTTTTTAAAAACTAATTTGATCGAATTAAATCTTTTGTTTACAACTCACACATACAAATGATGCTACATACGTCATTTATATAAAAAGTGTAAGATCCGAAATAAAATTTATCCTTTCTTTGGGTGGGGTTTAGATTAAAAAAAAAATTGAAAATTAATAAAAATAAATCATTACTAAAAAAACAAAAAAACAAAAGAAGATTATTATCATTATATCATTAGTAAAACAATATTTTAACATAAATAAATATAAAGATGTGTTTTTTATCTAATAAAAACTAGAGATAAAAAAAAATAGAAATGAGAAAAATCAGAAAAGATTAGAACCCTAAAACTACCAATCTTGGAAATCCAATTCTCTTGTATGGTGTCCAAAAGGAAAATAATTTTTTAAACTTTTGACACTCCTTCACACTATATTTGATAGACCTAATGTTTGTTCCGAAAGACGTAGAGTTTACCTTATCAAAGTAAAATATTTTAAATTAAAAAAAAAATCTAAAATTTAAATAAGCACTACACACAATTCACTCTTATACTATTTCACTAGTCATATTTTGAAAGAAAGGAAAAAAAAAAAAAAAGAGAGTGAACGAGTCCTAATTATGAGTCTCATAGATACATACTCTTATTATTTTATGTCTCTGTATTTAATTTTTATTGTTCATAATTAGCTTGATGTGTCGTTTTTGTAAGTTAAAAGGTGCCATCTGTATATTTCAATGTAATTAAATTAATCTATCATTAAATGGATTTAAGTTTTAATAAACAAAATAATATAGTTTTCTTTTATTAATAATGATTTAGTTTTATGATTTTTAAAATGTTTGATATTTTTTCTTCGTTTCTAATCTAAATCGTACCAAAAACGGGTAATTTAACTTCTCCATGGTTCGAATATCCTCTTTACATGTAATTTTTTTAATACATATATTTTATTTCTTTCTAACAATTTTATACTTCTAAATGTAAATCTACAATTTCCATCATTTGTACTTTTTAATCGGAATTAGAAGATTTAATCAGATCAAATTTCAAAAATTTAAGGATTGAAAAAATTTGTTAACTAATAGATTTTCTATCTGAGGTTGACGGAAGGGATACACGTTTGAAAGATTGGGAGGGGGATTGATTCAAACGAAAGTTCAAGGGAAAAACTAGACTCATCCTAAATCTCAGAGGGTAAATTGAAATCTCTCTCTCTCTCTCTCTCTCTAACCTACAGATATATCGTTTCTCTCTGTACGTCTCCCGTAAAATATCTCCAGCGAATCCCACACGTCATTCACCTATTTTACACCAGGTGGGTTGCGGTGAATCAGAGCTTCCGTAAAACGTCATTAAATGTAAAGACTTTCTTTTGTAATTTGCACATTTTACTATTACATGCACGGGTGATTTAGTTTTTACTCAATTCACATTTTCTTCATTATCTTTATTCCCGGTAAACGCATCCAACCAGTTGGAGAATAATTTGTTGAACTCAAATGTTATTCCTAAATGGAAAAATAAAAATAAATTTCTGTTCTATTTTCTTGTGTAGGCCTTCAAGCCTTTGGTCAGGGTTTGACAATTTAGTATTACTCAATTGTAAAGCCAAGATTTAGAATCAAGCAAGAAAAAAGCTATTCTCGTCCAAGAATTTATTTTGAATTTAATGCTAGCTTTTTTAAAAAAAGAAAAATTTTAATTTTTCTTCTATATATGGCTTTGTCATCCATGGTTGGTTTCATAGTAAGATAGTATATCAATGTTTAATAAACTCTATTGAAAGAGTGTTGCAGATTTTTTTGTGTCGATCTTAATTAAAAAAAAACTTTGTAACAATTAAAAATGCAAAGAGTGATTGAGAAACATTCTGCATGATAGTCAATCATTCAAATAGATGAACCAAATAAACTTACACATGTAAACTATAACTACTTTTTATGATGTTTTTGAGTTCAAAAAGTTAAAATTGCTAAGAAAAAGGGATTGCAATAGCCTTGGAGACCCCTTTCGAAGAAACCCTAACCTCCTAAGATGGTTGGATTTGCAGGATTAGAAGATGAATAACTAGAAACAAACTATAAAATAAAACAAAATTCAAACTTTATAATTTAATATGCAACCTTCATGATAATATTGGGGCAACAAATCGTAAACTTAAGCAATCAAACGCTAAAATTAAAAGCCTACGAGTATGAATGTAAATTGGAAATTTTATAGAACCATATCAAAGTCTTTTATAATGCTTAATTGAACTTACGATAAATCAAAATGATGAAAGCATATAAGATAAGACTCCGGACATAACAATGGATAAAGAAACCGTAAATGACGAGTGGATGTGAACACGAATAGATTGATGGAGGACTAATTATCAACTAACGAATTATCATCTACTTGATTAACGCCTACTAACTATTGCTTATTGATTATCACCTATAACCTATCGTCTACAAATCTATCACCCGTAAGTTATTGCCTAATAAATTTCAACTATGAAATTTATGATTGATGATGCTTCTTGAGTTGTTCATAAAAATATGCTTATTTGTTGTATTGTTGTGTGCATGTTTCTTTTAGGCCTCAATTGATACTTATAGGCTTTCTACCGCTCTATGACCTCCATTAATGACCCATTTCCTCCAATAGAGGCTATCCAATGTATTCAATTTTTTTTTCCCCGTGCTTCAATGCTTACTATGTTGTTCCTTCATGCTACAATTCTTCACATTCTTTCTATTTGTTTAGAGTTGTGTTTTATTATTAACGAGAGTCCAATACTTATCTAACTACTTGTACATAAGTGGTTAACCATCTATTTTTGTTTAGATAAAATTTTCACAATAAATCTAGTTCCAAAGTCCTTTTTTATCGTTTTAGAAGAGTGCTTTAGTTTTTTAGTTTTAACTAATCGATTGTATTTTTCATATGTGAATAGGGCTTTTATAGGCGGATTAGGCCTAATTAGTTGGCTTCTAATTAACTTTTGAGTGGGTTTAGACCAATAAGCTTTTAAATAAGATTAAACAAAATCTATCTCAATAACTTAATGGGCTTTCTTCAAGTCTCGTAACCAATTTATTGAGTCTATGCCCATTATAAATTTGGATATAACAAAGAGATACTTTAACTATAATTTTTGATATCATGCTTTCAAATGTGTGAATGTAAATTATACCAACTTACTAGGAGATCCTATTAATAAAAATATTATAAACTTTGATCTTGAGTGTTTTTAATTGTGAGTGATGTCACTTCATTGTATATGCTCAATTTGTTCATAAAAAACTAATTAACTAATGTATTTAATTATGTGTTAATTCGTGATATTTTGTTATTTTGACATGTGTCTAAAATCTACAACAAATAGATTGAAAATAGACTTCACTCAGTAGAAGGTTTTGATCGTACAAGGATAGATACAAATATTTTAATAGGATTAATATTTGTGTCATTTTTTTAAATGTATCAAAGGGATTGATTTGATGGACTCAAAGCAAGATCTCGTTAAAAAAGACCAAATTGTCACTTTCCTTCGGCTTTTGTTAGCAAGTTAAAATAATTTAATTTAAAAGAACTCATATTTCTTTTGTTTAGCTCAAATCCTATCATCCAAACATGGATGACATAACACGATCTTAAAGGGTCAAATTTTTTTTATTTCTCTATAAATAATAATCTCACATCAATTGTGTGAAGATTTCAACTTTAGGTTAATAGTATGGCATGTCCTTATACAATGGGTTGAGTTTTTAATCTGTTCTTATATCATAAAATGAATCAATTATATTTTTGTTATTTAAGCAAGTTTTTAATTTGTCCGTCCACTCAATTTTTCAATCAAACTACCTAAAAATGTCACATGACCTTCACATTTTTTTTTTAACAAAAATGTCCTTTAACGACTTAACATGTTAAATTTTAATTTGTTTTTATATAATGAGTTGAGTTTTCTATCTGTCTTTAATGCTAAATTGTCTATTATATTATTTTTAATAATTTCCTTAATAATAAATTTCACTATAGCATTTTTTTTGTTATTTAAAAATATATAAAAATAATTAGTACATGTTAGTATGTAAGTGTTCAAGAAATTGTCATTTTATATATTTTGAATGCTAAAAAGTTCATTATATTAATATATTTTTAATTAGCCACTTAAACATGCAATTAAAAAATAATTACATTTAATTGATTGTTAATTAGTCCTTAATCATGTAATTAAGAACCAAATAATTACATATTTTTTTAGTTGCATAATTATTTGTTTTTCCACACATGATTCACATGTTTTCTTTTATAGAGATAATTTAATATACTAGTAAATATTATATTAATTTATTTAATATTATAATGACAATAATATTAACATATTGGTAGTTAGTCTTTTAAGCATGTAATTAAGACATAAATAATTCCATTTTTTTAATTGCATACTTTTTTTTCACATGCAATTCACATGTTCTTTTTCATAGAGATGATTTAATATATTAGCAAATATTATATCAATTTGCTAACATTATGTATAAATGAATTATTATAATTACAATAACATAATAGATTCTTTAGTGTTAAAAATATCTTAAATGATAATTCTTTGAACATTTACGTACTAACAAATACTAGTTTTATATATTTTTAATTAACAAAACATTCACTATAGTACAATACATTATTGAAAAAATTATTAATAATAATATAATGTACTATTTAGCATTAATGATAAGTTGAAAACTCAAGTCATTATATAAAACATATTGAAAATTTAACATGTTAAGCTAAAATGAGTATTTTCGTTAAAGAAAAGATCATGTTGGATCATATGAAATTTTTAGGTGATTTTGTTAAAAAATTGATCGAAAAAACAAATTGAAAACTTACTTAAACTATTGAAACATAATTAATTTATGTTAAGATATAAGAATATATTCAAAACTCAGCTCATTATATAAGAACATATCACACTATTAACTCTTCAATTTATAGATTTTTTTTGCTAAACAAAATTCTCTTTTAAAGCTTTTTTGCTCTCACAATATATAACCTTCAAAACTCTATATATTTAAATTTTAACCACTAATTTTCAAAATCCTAAAGAAACTAAAAGAATCGGGAAAAATGAACAAGTAAATACTATTCATTTACCTGTTCATTTGCCTTTATTAACTATTCATTACTGTTTATAGTGGCGATTTTGTAATTCATGAGCTATACCTCTTTTCTTCTTCTTCTTCTTCTTTTCTTTTCTTTTCTTTTTTTTTTTTTTTTATAAGGTATGGCTTGCTGTACATAAAGTGGCCATTTTGTAATTTTTTCAATGGCATTTTTGTAATTTTATTATAATTTTTTGGACATTCATTTTCAAAATTTACACTTCATTCCTTTTTGGTCCCTTATATTTTTAAAATATATCTTTAAACTCTTATATTTTTAAAATATTTTGACATCTCATGTTTTTAACTTAGTCCATTTTTGTCTCATATTTTTTCAAAATATATTTTCTATTCCTCATATTTTTAAAAGATGTTTTTTGCCTCTTATGTTTTAAAATTTTATAACAAAAACATTTATTAGATTATATTTTTTTTATTGATTAAAATCAATCTCTTAAATTTTTTGTTCATGATAAAAATTCTCATCAAATTAAATTTTTTACTTTTTATGAAATTTTATTTGTTAATAAATATGATTTATCTTTCTTTGTGTATCAATTTTTAAAATGATTTTTTTAATAAATAATAGAATTCACATGTTTCTTTATCTTATTCTTAACATAATCATTTTTTTTGGAATAAAAATTTAAATTATTTTTATTACACTCTATTAACTTTAATATATTTCTTACAACTTAAGTTTTTTTAAACATATATTTTTAATTTATATAGAGTATAATAATAATGTAATGATGCATACAAAAAGTATCGAGATCAATGATTTTATTGAAATTAATTATGCATCTATACTTATAACACCAAATATTTCCTATTAATTATTTTTAATATTCTAAATTTAATTTATTTTAAATAAAATAATATTTTAAAAGAAACATCTAATAATTCGAATACATGTTTTTATACCTAATAATATTGATTGTTTTATATGTGTGTGTGTGCACCAAATATATGTATTTTTAAAAAGTTTAAAAAGATTCATTAGTTAATTTTTATACAAATCTTTATAGATTGTTGATATATTTCTCCAATGTAGTCTTATAAAAAAAATATTAAGATATTTTTAAAAAATCTATATCAAAATTTATATTTATATTATTATGGGTTTTTATTTAAGAATGAATGAAAAGTAAAATTTATGGGAACCAATTTTATAATAGTTTTTATTTCAATTTATTGACTTTAATATATTCCACACAGCATAAATGGTTTTTTTAATAATTTTTTTACACTATATATATATATATATATACACACACACACATTGTTGTTGAAAATTAATTATGTATCCGCATATATAACACTAATTATTTGTTATTTATTCTTTTTTATGTTCTAAAATTAATATTTAAAAAAATAATTAAAATATGTATCAATATTGTTGTTAATAAATATATATAAATCAAATGATTTTTCTAAACAAATAAATTTGATTTACATTAATTACGAGAAATAAGGTTTTTACCCGTACTACACCATATAAAAATATGAAAAAAAAGACATTTTTTAAAATAAATTATTCGTGGTCAACACTAATTAAAAAAATTAAATAATTTATTTTTGAAACCAAAAGAATTAATTAATTCATTTTTCAAAATGAGGTAACAAATTTATAATTTAATTTGCAATTCAAGAATCTCTTTTATCGTAAATTAAGAAGTTAAATTTATGAGAACCAATTTTATAGTAGTTTTTATTTTAATTTATTGACTTTAATATATTCTAAACAACTTAGATAGTTTGTTTTTTAAATTTATTTTATACTATATATTCTGAATATATATATATATATGCACACCTAACACTAATTATTTGTTTTTTTTTTTATGTTCTAAAATTAATATTTTTAAATAAAATAATTGAAATAATGTTTTAAAAGAATCTTTTAATTATTCAAATGTAATTTTTTTATACTAATATTATTTATTTTTTTGTTAATAAATATATATAAATCAAACGATTTTGCTCAAGCAAATAAACTTAATTTACATTAATTACGAGAAATAAGATTTTTATCTGTACTATATCATATGAATTGTTGATCTTATGTATATAACAACTATCCAATCACAAGCATAACGTGAATATATAACTAGTTCTATCTATTTAAACTTTGATCAGCATTCATCAATCACTCAAAACTCTATCCATTTAAATTTTGAACACTAATTTTCAAAATTCTATCCATTTGAACTGTTCACCAACACTCAATCACTTATTTGTTACTTCAACTTGCATCTCACAAATATTTTCTATTCTCTCTCTCACAACTTTTATTACTTACACCTATACTTATTAATTAATTATTATGTTATTATTTTTACATATTACAGCACTAACTTCTAATACGTCGACTGATTTGTTACCTTAACCGATTATTTATTGATATGTCATTAACTCACTTTAAAAAATCCCTCACATATTCACTAAAATGCAAATAAAGAAACAATAACCGTACTCGAACTTCGAGTGAATGAATTTTATCCAGGGGAGCAGCAATAACAGGATTTAGAACTTCAAATTGGCTAATCTCCTTTCATGGTATAAACGAACCAAACCCTTCGGAGGCAAGGGAACACGAGGGAGGCCCCTTTCCCAACTTAAATGTTTATTCTCTTTTCCTTAAATTGTCCTATATATTTCGGGCAAAATCAAGCCCCCCCCCACAACAAAAAAACTCAAAACCTTAAAAGCCTATTTTCAATTCAAATAAGGTCCAGACATTGACAAAAGCTTTCGCTACAAAAAGAAAGCGTAACCTTTCGCGTGCGCGCGCCATGGAACCGTCTCACTCTCGGACTCGTATGAAGGATCTCACAATTATTTTGAAAACTACACCGTCGTATATTGCTCTATGCTGGCATCGAGAAATTTTTAACTTCCAAAGATTTTATAGTACTAAAAAAAAAAAAACTTATATAAATTATTTTATAATAAAAAAAATTAAAACCAACATGAATATTTTCTTATTACTTTTAGTAAATCAAATATAATTTTTTTTAATATGTTATAAAATTTCTCGTCAAGCATATCATTTTTTGACAAAAAGAAGATTTCATTTAAGATGGAAAAAGCCAGCAAATACAGCTGTCTACTGATTTTTTTTACAAAAATCAGTTGTGCTATTTTTCCTACCCATTTTCCTCCTCACAAAAGGGAATATCCTTAAAAACCCACCATCGCTAAAAAAAACAAAATAATAAAATAAACACTTGGAACTTATCACCCAACTCTCTTAAAAACAATTTAAAAATCGTAAATTAAAAAGAGATGATGATGATGATTAATGGGTCTTGGCTACGTGTCTTTCCTTAAATCCACCACGACAACGCTCACATTGTCAGTACTGTGCCTGGCCAGCGCCAGCTTCGTCAGCAAATTTGATGCATCAGAGCACGCCTGGTCCGACATCTCCCCACTTCCGCTGGTGCCGGTGGTTATCCCCACAACCTCATTATTCTCTGCCATCCCAGGAAGAGAACATGGAGGCCGTGCATGTCCTTTCCCTCTCATACACATACGCGCCACCCCACATGCTGTCTCGTTAGACACCACGTCCCAAAGACCATCGCTTGCCAGTATCAAGCAATCATCTTCTGCCGTTCGATCCATTATTGTTACCTCTGGCTCGCAGATAACGTATGGTTTTAGATAGTTGTCACCTGTATATCGAAGGAGAATTGTAATGTCAAATTCAGTACAAGGTGTCGGAATTTAACTGGGTAATCGAGTGATTCTAATATTTTTACCTATGGCCCTTGACATAGCTAGAACTCCAAGAACCCTTGGCCCGTCCCAGTAAATGACCCGGCCACCAGCGTTTTGGATCCGGTCAAGCTCGTCTGGACGGTCAGGCTGGAATAAATAACGAGGAGACCCAAGTGAGTTTTTCAGCAGGAAAAGTCCCACGAAAAAAAGAGTGGTAAATAATTATACGGAGTGGATATTGATCGCAAACCTTGTGATCTGAAGAAAGAGAGACAGGCTTGCCATTACGACACAAAACAGCTCTTGAATCACCACAGTTTGCGACAACAATTTTATCAGGAGTTACAACGGCAACAACAGCAGTAGATCCAACAGCATCACATTCTGGAGTTTGCATCTCACACCTGCAATTCGCCCTAATATCCATCTCCTGATTCCACCCCACCACTTCCTTGTCCATCCGCCGAAAGCTTCTTTCCATTGCGCTTTTCCACGCCTCCATGCCCTCCATCTCCTCTTTCACAAGCTCATGCAATCTCTCCTTACACTTTACCGCCACCTATACAAAGAAATTCAAACGGGTTCGCATTCCGTTTCTTGGTCTCAAAAAGTAAAGAAAGTAAATTAAATAAAATCTAGTAGCTGTTTAATTTGTGGGAATGACGTGGGTGGAAATCATACATGAGAACAACCGTGGCCATCAAAGACACCAAAATAGTGTAGCTCGGTGGTGGTTTCATCATGGTCTTTGCGAAAAAAGGAAGGATGAATTGCTACTGCATCTTCCATGTCTCTTCTCCTTCCACAAACTGAAGCCACCCCGAATTTTGGAAACATTTCCAGATCAATTGAAGGTGTTAATAAAGTCGAGGGAGTTTGAGTTAGATTTAACGAGTACTGCCTGGAAATTAGAAGTTCTGATGATTTTCCATTCTCAAGTGGTTTTTTCCCATTTGTACCATGACTATCGGAAAAACAATTCTCTACTGCGTTTTGGCAGTCACGAGAAAATGGACTACTACCACCACCGAAAACTTGTAGTTTCTGCTTTTTATGAGTGCCCATCTCATCAGCTTCTGCCTCTGTTGAGGCTACTCCTGTGACAAATTTGAATCGTCTGATCTCCATTCTTCTCCGTCTAGCAGCTCTTGAAGTTGGCTCAGATGGCGTCGAGGACGCCTCGTTCTCACTCACTACTCCACAGCATATCTCAGCCATTTAAACATCAAGTTATCACCCCTCCTCCCTCAAAATCTTCAATTTTACTTCATTTGAAAAGCTTAACTTCGTGCTTTTTTTTTTAGGTTTAGCTTTGTATTTGTTTTCTTTCTTTATGGGGTTACAGTTACAGAAAGAAAATTGGAATAGAGAAGTAGTGATAAAAGAGAGCTCTTTTGCTCTTAGGGGAGCGCTTTAAAAGCACAGCTACCCTCTTTTTCTATTTTGCTTTGAGCATGGTTGCCACGAGTAGCCTGCCCGTCCCCCTCACAGGCAGTCTAAGTACTATTTGTGGCGTGACGTAATGCTCTTGTGCCTCCATCAAACACAAATCCACCGTTGGATCTTCACCTCTTTACCGTGGATAAATTTTATAATACATTATACGTGACTAGTAATGGATACAATAATTATTTTATGAAACTATTTAAAAAAAATAGATATGTAAAAAAAATAAAAAAATTTAAGTTGATGTAAAATTTTTTTTAGGAATTTTAATTAATATAGATGTAATTTTTGTTTTTTTATGTATTAATTTTTCTTTTCAAAATAGATTTATGATGTAATTATTATACATATAACTAGTTATTCTTTATATATTATAAAATTTCTCCTTCACCGTCAACCTCAAAAACGTGTACAAAGGTTCAAGTTATGTGGCCCAATGATGTCCAAACACGACCGTAATAGGTACTTGCTTTCCTGACACGCATGTGGTCCTTCCATGCCTCCTTTCTTGTTTTTTATTGTCGATCTTTTGGGCTTAGTAACAGGTGTCTACATGGTAGAATACGAGCTGGAGGGAAATGAATTTTAAAATTCCAACTTTATTGCCTCCTGCTCGTCTGGCCCAATCATATTGCATTACGTATCAGTTGTTTGACGTTGACATTTTGGGACCCATATATCACTGTCGTTGACGCTTGATAGAATATCTGAACCTCAAAATCTCCCTCCATGCCACGTGTTATGATTAAATTCCTTTATAATGACCTCAATGCGTTTCAAAGTCGCAGTAAATTTGATCGAAGGTGCTAACTACCACACCGTTGGAGAAAACCTCTCTATTATTAGCCTAACCGTGAAAAACAATTTTCTTTTTCTACAAATTATAGCTCATAACTTAAGATTTTTTTTTCAAAAATGAAAAACGTTAGAATCAGCTGAGTTTTTTCCCACCTTTCTTTAATCATTATCAATTACTTTTATATTATTGTTTTGTGATTATATAATAAATATATTACTTTCTCATTGTATTATAATTAAATAAATTAAAGCTTTTATAATTTGAATTTATTTTATTCTCTATGAATATACCACCATTAGGCTGTATCTACTTATATCATTTGATTTTAAGTGAAGAATTATCATCTCTCGCGGAGTTACGAGATATAAAGAGCGGGTATATCAGTAATATCACCATCCGTTTCATAATTAACAATAATCAATTTGATTTCAATTCCGCCCAACAAATTTAACATTTAGAGTTTGGTCCATGAAAAGGTGGGCTGCAGCAGAATCACCCAAAGTAGGATTTTTCTTTACACGTGGAGCGAAGTCAGTGGACAACGTGTGAACTGACAGAAAAGTACGGTGAGTGGGGCTGCCAATGAATAAAACAGAAGCCATAGCGATGGTTCCACGTGTAAAATCTGGCTGGCAAGCAGTTGTAAACTTAGGTGTACTATATACAGATTTCGGGTGCATGAAGTTGACAGGAGGGCAAAGTTACGGGGCCCGTGACACGTGTTAGCATAAATAATGCAAAACATAAGCACTAACCGGACCATGCTTTACTTTTTTTAAGACATTCACCGACGGGAAGTAAAGTTTGGTTAGGTCAGGATCATCTTCCTGGCTTTGGAATTGAAACCCTACCAAAACCAAACCAAACCAATAACTGTACCGTACCACTCTTTATCCAAAAAAAGTTACAAGAGTTTCAAAAAATCAGAATACGTCAAAGCAGGACACGTGGGGCCAAACAGTGGAAGGTGTAAAACGGGGGGTGTTTGGTGGCAGCGAAAGGAAAGAGGGGGCGGGAGAGTGGAGAGGGAAGGGCAGGATGTGTGGCTTAAAGAGATGGACACGTTGATAGGAGCAGACAAGTAGTGACCTGTGGAAGATTTCGAGAAACACTTTGAAGTTTGAAAACAGGGGAAGCTGGTTACGTGGTGGCTAACTGTTGGGTTTGATGAAGGGTGGGTTGGTTGCATGTTAGGCAAGTTGCTGGCTGGTTTTCTGCATGGGAGGTGGTAGTTTTCAGTAGCTTGTTTGCGTAACATTTGGCGTAGGTATAGACTCCGTAAGTATGAGAATGATAAAGGAGAAGGATTGGCATGAGTTGAGAGATAATCAGAGGTTGGCACGTCACTGGTTCGAAAGTTGTATCTGGCAAGCAGGATGAGGAAAAGTAATTGAAGCTTTCATGAACGTTGTCTGTTCTTATGTGTGGGAGCGTCAGTCTGTCCTGGCATGCTAGCTTGCTTCCAGTCATATCATAGTCTAAATAAAGGTCATATCATAGTCTAAATAAAGGTCATGATCAAGTAGTCCATTTATATATTTCACTATTCTTGAAGTGAGGCATGCTAGGCCGACTGAAGGAGAGAGAACCTGCTATTTAAGCAATTAGCAATCTGGGCATTTCAAATCGATCCCGCTTCAAAAGCTCTTAGAGCGGCTTGCTGATGGATCTACCGTTCCCATTTCCAATGGATTCATGTACGTGATTAATTGCGTAGGCGTTAAGTGTTTTTCAAGACACATGCAATAATGCTCCTAGCGCAAAGCACATAATCTAACTCGCTGCCAATTTACCTACAAAATCAACCCGAGTGGGTTTCCTTGGATCTTTGATGTACGCTGATAAAAAATAAAATAAATTTTTTAATACTCTGTTTCAAAAAAATTGTTAGCTCTCACTTTTTATGTAGTTCAGAAAAATTATTAATCATTATATTATATTAGTATTTTTACTCATATTTTTCGAATATATATATTTAAAAATTATTAGTTATTAAATTTTTTAACTTTGCATTATATAGAATCCTCATTAATTTGAGAATAAAATCTATCCAAAATTAAAAAAAAATTATTAAATTAATTAATAATCAAATTTAAAATAATTATAAAAAAATAATATATTAATAGAATTATTTTACTCTTAAAATCTCAACATGCAATAAACTCTTGAATTTTTTTTTGTTTTATATGTATAAAGGGGAAGTATAATTTTATTAGTGAAAAAGAAAAAGAAAAAAGAAAAGAAAAGAATTTTTTTTTTCAATTAAAGATATTTTATAAAAAAAATCATGAATGACCGCACTTTGATCGTATCTATACTCAACAACCATGATAGTGGTTGAATGTAATGACTTAGAAGCTGGTAGTCATGCTCCATGTTTAAAAATTTTAATAGTCATACTTTATGTTCTGAAAAGTCGTGCTACATATTTCTATAGTTTAGGAGATCTTCTAGTTTTTTGAAAGATTTTATTCATTTGAAGATGCTTTGCGTAAATGAAAATTGAAGAAGTTGTGGTTAAAAAGAGAAACATATTATTCTTGTTATGTTTTTGGACTTTATTTTTGTCAAAACACCAATAATTGGTATCAGAGTCATTATATTGAGAGGCCTGAGAAATTGAGTGAAGTTTAAACACATATTCCAAACTCTAAACAATAAAAAAAATCCTATAAACAACTTAAACAAGTAGAATCAGAAGTAGTATTTTCATTAGTTTCACAATTAGTGTTTAATGGTGAAAACTATTAAGTTTAGGCTATTGGAATGATAGTTCATTTTGAAGCATTGGATCTCTAGAAGACAATAGAAGATGATTATGATAGTTCTGTATTACCAGTCAATCCAACCATGGCTCAACTTAAGAATCACAAAGAGGAAAACACTTAAAAATCCAAAGCCTAGACTTATCTATTTTTTATTGTATCAAATTCTATTTTTCTCAGAATTGTGAGCTTTGAATCTGCACAAGATATTTAGGATTATCTCAAGAAAGAGTGCTAGGAAAAGACAAAAAACATATAAGTGCCGAATTTGATAAGATAATTTGAAATACAGAGAATGAAGGAGCTATAATTAATCAAAGATTATTCTGACAAATTGCTCAGCATAGTAAACAAGATGAGATTGCTTGGTAAAGATTTTTTTTGATAAAAGAATTATTCAAAAGATTATATTTACGTTATCTCAAAAGCATGGGGCTATAATTTCTTCTATGAAAAAATTAAAAGATCTCTCTTGTATTTTTTTTTTAGTGAAACTCATTAATGCATTGGCAAACATAGAAATAAAAAAGGCTCATGAGACAAGAATTATTTGTAAAAAGTGCTTTTCAAGCAAAATCACAAAACAACAATGACGACAAGAATAAGAAACAAAAAGCAGAATAATATTAACAAATTTAGAACAGGTTCAACCAACAATAACAACAAAAATAAAAGTTTTTCTACTTTGTCCATAATACAAAAAGATAACCATCTATAAAAGAAGATATTGATGGAGACCAGATGTTCAATGTACAAAACATGGTCAAATTGATCATAAGGAAAAAGTTTACAGGTCTTAGCAATAACATAGAAACTAAAGATTGATACGGATCAACCTCGGAAAGAGTAGTTGTTTGTGGCATCATATTTTGTTAATAACGAGTTGTATCGATACTTATTTTATAAAAAATAGTTGCACAAATCACATGACATATGATTAAAAGCTTTTGAAGAAACCTGACGTAACTGCTTATTTCTAAAGTTAGGATTGGAAATGGAGATTATATTATTGTCAAAGGCAAGGCGCAATTGTAATAGAAAGCCTTTTAGGTTTGAAACACATCCGTAATGTTTTATATGTGCATGAGATTAGTTAAATTCTCTTCGACTCCGCATAATTACTAGAGAAAGGCCATGAGATCATATTTAAGGATAAGAGTTACATGATAAAAAATGCGAAGGAAAAGATGTGTTTAAAATCTCCATAA